CCCAACCCCAAACCCAAACCCAAACCCTTTTTATGTGACTGCTGAACTAATCCTACTAATAATGGGCAAACCCCTTTTTCTCTTATGTAAAAATTTTTTTTTTTTTTTCAAAATTTTATTTTTGAATATTTTTTTTTCTCATGTGTAAAGAATTCAACACAATGTGACTGCTGAATTATACTTACTAGTGCGCTCAACATTTTGTGACTGCTTATATATTAGCAGATATAAATGTAAACTTAATAACGATTATAACAATAACAGATAATGGTATTCATCTCTTAGAAATAATACAAAAATCAAATTTGATCTAGAAATTATTAAAGGACATGTAGGTAAGTTAAAATTGAACGAAGTTAAAAAATTGGTGGGCATAAATGATTTCGATGAAGAAACAGGATAATTTGAATGAATTTTTACTTATTCTATTAATATATAAATATACTTAAATATAAATACATAATTTATTTATGATTGTATAAATTTACTTAATAATTTCTAATAAGATTAGATTTGTCTAATTAGATATTATTTATATGACTCTATTCATATTAAATATTCAATATTTATTTTGAATATAAAAAAAATATTTCAATAAATTTTTAAATAATGAAAAAATGTTCAAAAAATTTTAATAAAAAATGTTCAAAAAATTTTAATAGAAAATCCTCATTAGTTTTTAATATTTTAGTATTTAATGACAGAAACTGAAGCCGATTCTAAACTAATATATTTAGGATGCAACAGAGTAGTTTATCAAAGCGAAGATAAGAGAATAAAGTTATATGAATTACGATAATTAAAAAAAACAGATCCTTTTGTCTACTTTCCTTGGGTTAAAGGTCCTGGGTAAAAAACATTAGGCAAGGGAAAATGGTATATTTTTAAAAATTATGAAATTGCAAATGAGATTCTAGTGCCTGTGGCATCTTTATATTCATCATACAAACAGATCTCAAAATATAAAATAAATGTAAAAGGTTTGAAAATCGAATCTATGAGGGCTCCTTATTAAAATATATTAGGAGTGATTAAAAAAGTAAGCGATCTTGATACAGAATCAAGACAATATTCTTTTAGAATTCTAAAAGTTTTATTAGTAGATAAAACTGTAGTAGAGATTTTATTGAAATAAAAATTTGCAACTAGAAAGGTAGAAAAATTTAAAGAAGGTGAAATAATCTATATTTATTAATGTAAACTTAATAACGATTATAACAATAACAGATAATGGTATTCATCTCTTAGAAATAATACAAAAATCAAATTTGATCTAGAAATTATTAAAGGACATGTAGGTAAGTTAAAATTGAACGAAGTTAAAAAATTGGTGGGCATAAATGATTTCGATGAAGAAACAGGATAATTTGAATGAATTTTTACTTATTCTATTAATATATAAATATACTTAAATATAAATACATAATTTATTTATGATTGTATAAATTTACTTAATAATTTCTAATAAGATTAGATTTGTCTAATTAGATATTATTTATATGACTCTATTCATATTAAATATTCAATATTTATTTTGAATATAAAAAAAATATTTCAATAAATTTTTAAATAATGAAAAAATGTTCAAAAAATTTTAATAAAAAATGTTCAAAAAATTTTAATAGAAAATCCTCTCCCATGAATTATTAAATATCTAAAATTATAGTAAATATAAATTTGTTAGTTATTAATTGAATAAAATTACAATAAATAAAAGTAACAAGTTTCCATTTTTTCAATGCCATTTCATCAGAAAGAATTTTTGAAATATATTAATGTTATTTCGTTATTTTGATCTTTTTATATTAGAATAAAATCTTATGTTTCTCCTGTAAATTTAAAATCAAAATAGAAACTGTTAAATTATTTCCCAAATTTCCCAAAAAAAAGATAAGTTTAGTGCTTTTGTTTGTTATTAAAGGGAATTCATCAAGTAATTAACTTTTATTATTTTCAAAATGTGTATCAATATTGATGTTAATTTCTGATTTTCNATCCTCATTAGTTTTTAATATTTTAGTATTTAATGACAGAAACTGAAGCCGATTCTAAACTAATATATTTAGGATGCAACAGAGTAGTTTATCAAAGCGAAGATAAGAGAATAAAGTTATATGAATTACGATAATTAAAAAAAACAGATCCTTTTGTCTACTTTCCTTGGGTTAAAGGTCCTGGGTAAAAAACATTAGGCAAGGGAAAATGGTATATTTTTAAAAATTATGAAATTGCAAATGAGATTCTAGTGCCTGTGGCATCTTTATATTCATCATACAAACAGATCTCAAAATATAAAATAAATGTAAAAGGTTTGAAAATCGAATCTATGAGGGCTCCTTATTAAAATATATTAGGAGTGATTAAAAAAGTAAGCGATCTTGATACAGAATCAAGACAATATTCTTTTAGAATTCTAAAAGTTTTATTAGTAGATAAAACTGTAGTAGAGATTTTATTGAAATAAAAATTTGCAACTAGAAAGGTAGAAAAATTTAAAGAAGGTGAAATAATCTATATTTATTAATGTAAACTTAATAACGATTATAACAATAACAGATAATGGTATTCATCTCTTAGAAATAATACAAAAATCAAATTTGATCTAGAAATTATTAAAGGACATGTAGGTAAGTTAAAATTGAACGAAGTTAAAAAATTGGTGGGCATAAATGATTTCGATGAAGAAACAGGATAATTTGAATGAATTTTTACTTATTCTATTAATATATAAATATACTTAAATATAAATACATAATTTATTTATGATTGTATAAATTTACTTAATAATTTCTAATAAGATTAGATTTGTCTAATTAGATATTATTTATATGACTCTATTCATATTAAATATTCAATATTTATTTTGAATATAAAAAAAATATTTCAATAAATTTTTAAATAATGAAAAAATGTTCAAAAAATTTTAATAAAAAATGTTCAAAAAATTTTAATAGAAAATCCTCTCCCATGAATTATTAAATATCTAAAATTATAGTAAATATAAATTTGTTAGTTATTAATTGAATAAAATTACAATAAATAAAAGTAACAAGTTTCCATTTTTTCAATGCCATTTCATCAGAAAGAATTTTTGAAATATATTAATGTTATTTCGTTATTTTGATCTTTTTATATTAGAATAAAATCTTATGTTTCTCCTGTAAATTTAAAATCAAAATAGAAACTGTTAAATTATTTCCCAAATTTCCCAAAAAAAAGATAAGTTTAGTGCTTTTGTTTGTTATTAAAGGGAATTCATCAAGTAATTAACTTTTATTATTTTCAAAATGTGTATCAATATTGATGTTAATTTCTGATTTTCTTAACTCACTAATAAAAGGAAATGTTAGCAATATATTTGAAAAAGTTAGAACTCAATTGTAATTTAACCTAATTCTATTAAAATATTTCTAATAAAATAAAATCATAATTTGTTAAATAATGTTAGAAATTTTTAGAAATAATTTAGCAATTGGATTAAAAGTGTGAGTCTTAAACTATTGTATGAATATTCACTTTTTAAATGATGCAACAGTGATCCCCTAATTTTATTTATTCCTTTTTTATTTTCTAATTACTTTTCTTCTTAAAGTTTTGTGTATATTTTTAAGAGAAAATAAAAAGTACCATATTGATTCTTTCATTGAAAATACAGATGGAGATTCGATTGGCTTTGGCTTTTGGAGTTACAGGATTCCACTGTAGTCATCAAAAGAAGTATTTTAAGTTGAAAAAGAGTTTAATCCTCAAATAGCAGAAAACGAATAATTTTTTTTTTAATAAAAAGTGGCTCAAAAACTTTGTTCTTGGATATGCATCATTCAGCAGAACAACAAAACTAGCTTATCATAATATAATTTTCTTTACCAATCCCTCAATAATTCTATAATTTGTATACTCTCCCTAAAAGTACATAGCTAATTGGATCTTAAACACTATTACATACAATTTTGCAGATAAAATGTTCAGAATTAACTCAAATTAGTAATTGATGAAAGTTTCAATTTAAATGTTTTTAATGGAAGGTTATCTAAGCTTTTCATTAAAAGATTCAATTATTTGATATTTAATTTTTTTGACTATATTCTTTAATTTTGTGTTGTTCCAAAATAGATTTAAGAAGAGTAAATAGTTTTTTTAGTGAATGGATTAAAAATTTTTTTTAAGGAGATACATTATTAACTTCAACAATTAACCAAATAGGAAATAGATATTATATTTCTGGTTGGATAAAGTATGATTTTTCGAAAGTTGTTGATGGAGGTTTAAAAATAAAATACCGAATATTCTGGCCTGATTGTGTCAAGTAACATTTTTCAAGCGCCAGTTGGAGATCCTATGACAAGTAATTAAAAAAAAAATGGTATTTCAAAAAGTATTCAACTAATGATAAGAGATATTATAATGGATTATAGCTCAAATCAATTATTATACATACAATAATGGCATTTTTTAAAGTTTGAATAAGGATCAAAAGTTGCTGATGGAGGACAATTAATCTAGTTTTAAATTTATAATGAATTGAATCTTGTTGAAAATAAAGTAAATTTGCCAACTTGATGCTTAAATATACGATTTAAAATTTTAGTACAATTACGATGCAGATAAAATGTTGTAATCCATGTTATTAAATGGTAATTTCATTATTTAATAAAGTTTGCCATTATTCTTGTCTAAGCTGTAGCGGTCTATTTGAAGATAATTGTTTGTCTTGTGCTTCTACATCAAATCGAAATTTTATATAAGAGTAAAATAAATGTTAATTTAAATATGATTATATTGATTAAAATGGGGAATCAAATTGCATTGCATTTTAGTAGATGTTCTAATCAATTTAAGTAATTGAAATTTAGATGCAAACTTATACTAAATGTGAGCAAGGATATTTTATTTTACCAAACTATTTGAATTAAAATATTTGTTAATAATGGTAATATTATATTATTTTATTAAGCCTGTAAAACAATTATGGTAAAATCAGTTGTGTAGATTGTCAATATTAACCTGAAAGCTGGTATTTAAAACCAATATGTACTGCAGACCTTCCGTCAAGAAATAAGGAAGGAGATGATGGATTTTATTATAAAGAGAGAAATGAAATAGATCGTGATGTGTACTTAATTAATAAAAACGGATACTTAATTAGAGCTAGGAGTCCTTGATTTTTGTAATATAGAATTCGATTCAAAGTCTTGTTTTTAATATAAACATCTTCATTTAGGGTAGTCTGTATATGTCAAATGCAAACCTAATTATTATAATCTGAATGGAGAATGTATATTTACCAGTGTTTATTGTTTGGAAACGAATTCTACTTTTAAACTGTTTAACATGTAATTACGATTAAACTTTAAAATAAATTTAATGTTTATCTAGCTAAGAAAATCATTCCTTAGTTAATGGTGGATGCATCAAATGTGGTAACTTTTGTAAAAATTGGCAAATTTATGATGATTTATATATTAATTAATCCTACTTAAAATGTTTCAAATGCATAGATGATTCAAAGTATTATATTTCTTTTGATGCTGTGAATTGCAATGAAAATAAAATAGATTCCTGTTTCTATGCTTTTGAAGTTATAATTGATGATCCAACTTAAAATACAATAGATACTTATTTTATCCCCAGGTATGACTGAAAAATTTTGTTATATATTGCGGAAGATGCGGATTTGGGGTTATATTTGTAATTGAAATCAGTAAGTGTTTATTGTCTTATGATGAAATCTGCTATTTTTCGTATTCTGAAGCCACATGTGTTATTGAAATCACTGTTGAAATGTGGGATGAGATGAATGAAAATTATCATGTTACACTTTCTGATGGTACTTTAATTGCAGTTCCATTTGAGGATGACTATGAATGCCTTACAGTGAATTACTGCATAATTACAAATGATTATAAGCTATCAGATGTTTGGAAAATTACTCAGTATTCTCTTACTTGCCCAAGTTATAATAAAAATTGTGCCACTTGTTTAAAAGATAGAAATCTTTTGGTTGATTTCTGCCTAGAATGTGATACTAGTTATTATTCTGAGAGACTAACTGGTAAGTGTTACCGATGCCCACCCGAATTGAATTGTTACTAATGTTAATAATAGTAAATTTTATTAGAGGATTCATGAAAAATTTAAATTAGAGCATTTTATTTATTAATTAGCAAATTAGAAATTAATAAAAACTATTGCAATCTAAACAATAAGTAGAAAAGAATAAATTTGCAGCATCACTGGAAATGCAACTAATCAATAATAATTTAGCCAAAATATTTTTTCCACTAAGTAATAAAAAATTATTTTTTTAGTTAAGTAAATCTATAAATGATTTTCGATTACTAAACAATTTTTATCTTTGAAAGGAGGCTTACTTTTCTTAACTTTTAGAATATCTATATTTCTGGGGCCACATTTCAACCTGCATCAAATAATCAATAAAAAACTATATTATTTTAAAATGCCATATAGTAAGCTATTATCTTGGAGAAAATCATCTTTTAACAACTTTCTCCAAATTATGATAATCAGAAATAATTTTTTCAAATACTTAAAAACTCTTTATAAACAATACTCAAATAATTGATTTGAGACAAAAAGATGTTAATCATTTGTTAGCAATGATTTTATAGAAGGTTTAAAAATGTAATTTTGTGAATTCAAAGAATTTACTTATATATTAGCAAATTTTGATAAAATCTCAAACCTAAATCAAAAGTTCATATTTAAAAATTCAATTTTCGAGCAAAATATATATCTTTTATCAACGAAATTAATTTTTTAAAATAAATGGAATCACTAATCTTCAAATCTAATAATCTAACAATTGTCATTATTGAACAATCATATCTCTTAGGTTTCAAATGATTTAAATCTAAATAGTTTGGACACTTAATTATTATATATATATACGGATAATTTAAATATTGAAGGGCTTGTTATTGAAAGGGGTTATGGTTTTATTGAGGTCTGTATAACTAATGCTTAAAATTTAATCTTAATTAACAGCAAAATAACTTAAGGTGAACAATTTTAATTTAAAGGATTGCACTAATATTTTGATTGGTAATTGTCAAAAGTAAAAAGTAATTACTACTTAACTTCGCTTTTCTTCCTATCTATTCTCAATATAGAGATTGATGGATTAATTATAATTTAATCATAATCATATAATTATCCTCTATTATATTATAGATCTTAAGATAAAGAGAAAAAGTAAAGATTTGAAAGGATTCAAATTTCAAACTTATTTATTGATTAAAATATGCTGCTAATAACTAAATTATAATAAGTTGCTGCTATTATTTCTATTGAATCAACTCAAGAGACGCTTATAAAATTTGAAAATTGTAAATTTTATGGTAATATCCTTCATGAATATTTATAAGATACTCTATTGACCTCAGCTTTACTTTTAAATATAAATAGCTATTTAGGAACAGTTGTAATTAATAATTCTATCTTTAATAACAATTTAGTTTTGAATAGCACATAATATAATTTATATTAGAAGTCTAAATTTAAAAATGTCTCATAATTTATTTTAATATAATAGCATTTTCGATTATTAACTTATTAAATAGCAAATCTTATGGGGAAAAAATCTAAAATCAGAAACAGTATATATTGAAGATATAAATATGATTTTTTAAATTTAATCACTAACAGGTCATGGTTAATTTTTGGTAGAGGAACTTAATATTTCTGAATGTTAATTTGAATAATCAAAAGGATCCCTTGGAGGTGCATTCCACATTATAGCTTAAAAAAATACGGTAATTAATATTTTGAATTCTTCTTTTTACAATTTATCAACAACCTTTTTTACAAATAATGGGGGAGCTTTTTATTTGGATGGTACTTCATCATTATCTCTCATTGTGGGCATTATTAAAGTGAAAGTAGAAAATATATTTGCTTAGCATAACGGAGGTTTCTTGTACTTGAAAAGCCAAAGTTCCTAAATATCAATAAATATTAAAGAAATCAATTTAAGTAATGTTTATGCTAAGAATGGATCTTTTGCATATCTAAAGTTTTCATTTTTTTCAAAATCTTAAATAGAAGTTTAAATTAATAATATTTTATTTAATAATAATAAAAAGGTATTTATTGATTATTTGAATCAATAAAAATCTTTGTCTCGTTTAGAAGTATCATCTCTATTAAATAATCGTTTTTTATTTTACATAGATTCAGCCGCAAAAGTAATATCTCAAAATTTTAAAATTGAAAATTTAATTCTTGAATCAGCATTTATAATAAATAACAGTATATATAAACATATTGGTTTCTTAATTGTACAATAGACATAGCATCATCACCTATCCAAACTATGTCATATTCATTAGATTGCTTTTTATAATTAAATTAAATTAAAAAAAATCTTATAACTTCTTTGTTCAATTTTGAAATCCATTATGCAAGAATGATTTGGCAAATTATTATGCCATCAATTTATATCAACTTTTTCTTTATTTGTTACGCTATAGCAGCCTAATTAAAAATAGTGGTTCTAAATAAAAGTGTCATTGCAACCACTTTTATTTATATGTACATTTACTTATAACCAAGTTTAATAGGTGGATTTGCATAACTTATTTCATATCGTTAAATATCTGGATATAAATGGATTTTGGCAAATGTTGCTTATAGATTTGATACTTATGATCATTAAAAGTGGATGCTTCAATTATGTATACCAATGCTTCTCTTCCTTGCAATTTTGGTACCCTCTTTCTTCCTTTATAAGCTCATTGAAAATCGACATAATTTCGATTATAAATCGATTAGACTTTAATTTGGATATTTATACAATGAATATACAAAAAAAAATCTTTTATTGGGAAGTTATTAAAATAGTCTAAAAATAATTAATGATTATATTTTTAACTTTTATTAAGACAGTATTGTAATCAAAGCAACTATAATTATATTGATATTAGCAATTTATTTAGAAATCAATAATAGATCTCTTCCTTATAGTTCAATGACTCTTAATAAATTAGATTATAGTTCTATTGTCAAAACTATATTTATATAATTCTAATTAATTTTTTAGATCAAGAAAGATAAAAATTTATCAATAAAAACTAAAATTTTATTTAAATAATCAGGCTAGATTACCTTAATATGTATAATTTCTATTGGATTAGCAGTAGGTTTATATGTAGCATATCAATAAGATTAATTAGAAATTCAAATTCCTTATTTCTTTATTCTTGGAATCATTAATTTAAATTTTATATATCAGATTATATCTGAGATTGTACTTTAATTAATAAAAGAGAAAGCTGATTTATATTCAGAAAAATTAGATATTATCAGAGGAAAGATTTTAAAATATTTACCAATTCTCAATAGAATACCTTTTTTTAATAAAATATTAAAAAATAGAGAGGAATAAAAAAAACGTACAACCTAGCGTTTTCTTAAGATTAAAAAATTCTTGTTACCCCAAGCAAAAATAATTATTAATTATAAACAGTATGAGTTGTAGCTGGCATATGAAAACTCAAATTAGAATTTTGAGATCATTCCATTAAGCTCAAGAATATCTGGATCAATAGTTGAAAACTAATGTTTTTTACATAGTTAAGAAGCAGAAATCCCCTCAAATTAGGCAAAAAATATTTTTGCATCTTAAATATTAGAAAAATAGTAAGCTATTATATTGAATATTATTTAGACCTAAGTAACAAGATAGACAAGAGGAAGAATCATAGAAAAAAATGTTTTAAGGCGCAAAAAGTTAAAATCTATTGCACAGGTTTTACCAAATGAAGAGGATTGATAAAGATATCATCATATTAATTATCTAAATTATATAAAATAACAAATTAAAGTTTAAATAATATTAAATTTTTTATCTAAAATACTCTAATTAAACGTCTCATTGTTATGTGTTTTGTCAATTGTTAATTTTTGCTAGATTACTTTTTAATAACAATTACAATTTTTCATATCTTATTCAATAAATTAATGTGGTTATAAATTTAAAGATATTAATATAAATGATAAACGATAAATTCAGTTATTTGTTAGTTTCATTAATTATTAAACAACTAAAGAATAGAGAAAGTTTTAATATTTTAGATTATTAATTCATAATTTAGCATTTTTGAAAAAGTAAAATCTCACTAAATCTTGAAAGTCAACAGTTCAAAAATTTGACAATGAATTTGTTAACTATATATGCTAAAGAATTATATGAAGTCTTTCTATATTTTTGACTCTTAATTAATTTACTAATTAACTCTAAATAAAAATTTTTGCCTAGTCACAATATTATTCAAATAGTAATGCCAAATGTATTTGCTATTCAAAAAAAGTTTATAGGTAAACTTTGGCTAAATATTAAATTTTGAAAGCATTGAATCCATTTTGGAATACAAACATGATTTATTGAAAAAAATAAAGAAAAGCTGATAAAAATTTCAACTTTGCAAAGAATTAATATTCCACTTTAGAAACTTGTAATAAAGATAAACTGTAATGATTTTTGCTATTATTTGAATTTTAAATTATTATATAAGTCATACCAGAACTTAAGTACTAAGATTTTTTGAATGAAAAATCTATGATGTTTAGGAATAAAGATAAAAAATCACATAAATTTTTTTTAATTATAAATGAATGATATAATCCATTTTTTTTTGATAGTGAAAAAATCTAAAAAATGGAGACCTATTACTCTAACAAATAAATGATTAAGGAGCATAACAAAAGATAAGTTTTAAGTTATCAGGTGAGGGAAAATAAATTAATGACTCTTAAACATCAGGAATTTGTAAATATGTATTTATAAGAATTTATTTAACTTTCTGAGGTTAAAATAAATTTGAGTATTCGAGAAATCAAATATGAAAAATTATCTAATAAAGGATCAAGGTTAATGTAATTAATCATATTTATTTTCAGTCACTAATTCAATAAATTTATGGTAGGCAATAACTATAAATCAATATATAAGTTCTTCAACATAATATTTATGGTATTGGTTCTTGTAGATGAGGAGAGAACTGGAGAGTTTTAGTTATGCACTTAGAGAAGCATTAGTGAGTAGCTAAGTTTATTCATATAATATACACAATTCATTTTGTGAATTAATAAATATAAGGATATTATTACATTTCAGGCTTTAACTTTGCAAATGCTATTTAAATAAATATCCAGTATCAGTAGTTGTTGAAGCAACAAATTTGTAGTTTTATAAATCTAGATTATTCTCAGATTTTCATCAACTTAAACTATTAAATATATTTTATAAAAATAATTTTGGATTGACTCGTATTTATTTAAATATTGTATTTTTACCTCATAATAAAATTACAAATATTTTTATTTATAAGGATGAAAATAATTTAAATGAATTAATTTTTATTAATTTAAAAGTTCATATTTTTATAATATATTATAAAGATGAATTATTTTTATTACACTTTTTTTATCCTGTTAAAGTTTAAAATGAAACTCAAATGTTTAATATTAAGTGACCTTCTAACAAATTCATAAATCATGGTAATTAATGTGAATTAATTATAATTTGTGAAAAAAAACAAATTTAAATGGAGGTTGTATAATTGTTTGATATTAATATATAAATTAAAAACTTGTTATTCATTAATATTAAGTAAAATTTAAATATATTTTTTATTATGTTCTCAATTGTAAAGGGACTTAAAAGAAGAAAATTTGTAGATTATTTAATAAATTACAGATATTGATTATTTAATCTAATAATTTAAATACATTTAAATTCAAATTTTTTGGGTTAGAGTCAGAAATTTTATGTGCTTGAAAGCTGAAAACGATTATATTGAAAATATAAAACGACGCTATAAAACCAAAGAGTTAAGTTAAAATATAGAATAAAAAAAAAGTAGTTTGTTAACATTTAAGAATATTTAGTTAAAAAAAAAAGGATGTGGTTTAATCAATGATAATAAGCAGTAGAATTTTATAATAAAGGCTTATAATTAATTAATTTAAAGATTATTATGAAATTAAAAATTTGTAGTTATATAGCTCATTTTGAATCTTAGTCAACACTCATTACATTCAAAGGATATACATGTTGCATTTGATTTAGGTCATCTGTGCCTCTCATTCTACTAGATCCTGCAAAATTCATAACCTTTGTAGATGCATATTCTTCATAAGATTCCAAATGAGATACCTAGATAGAGGTAAGACAATTAAAAATGACAGATAGAAATAGCATACATATAATGATTATTACAAGTATAGATACTTTTTATATTGATTCAGCATAAATTATGCACATCCCATCTAACATTTTATTGTAATGTTCCTATATTTAAAAAATAATTATTTACTTTTATGAATGTACAATTAGCTGACTTTAGTATATTTTTCATACTTGTCAAAATCATTTGTTCTTTTTCATTAAACTTTTAAAATAATTAAATATATTAATTTAAGCTTTCAATAATTACTTAATTTAAAGAGACAAATTATGATTCTAACTATTATGCTTACATCCAACCTTAGGCTTGAGATTAAAAATGCTGTTTTAATTTCTAAAATTAATTTTACTGTTCATAACAATTTGAAGAATATTTAGTTATTAAATAAGAAGGATGCCAGCAATATTATGTTTGGTTTTACGATCCTTATTTTTTTGGACTTGTTCCATCAGAGCAAATTTTAAATGCTAATTCAATACAATCTTGATTTTGTCTTAAATCATTAAAAGCATTTACTATTTTTTAAAACTCTGCCTTTTAATTTTAATCAAGATCAATTATTGTTCCATCTAAAATTTAAGTTAGACTTAAACTATTATTTTAGATTTTTTTTATAAATTCTTCTTAGTTGGAAGTAATTCTTTAAATTTCTTCATCTATTCCTTAATCACCATATATATATGTTCTAATATCTTTTATTTTTTAAATAAGATTTAATTATTCATAAATATTTCCATCTTCAAATAGACAATTTTGTAGTGTTTATTTTGAATCGTCAAAATTAATGATATCTTGAGTTTAGTATTTTTCAATTTTATTTACAAAACCATCAAAATATATACACAAATCATATGATAATTAAGAATGAGAATGGAGGAATATATTTACAATTAATAGCGCTATTAACAATAAATTACAAATAAACCATAAGAAATCAATAATATTTTTAATTTTTAGCTTATAATTTAACCAATAGCCTACCCAAATTATGATCTAAAAAAAGCAAAAAATTATTAATGTAATTCCAATTCCCATTACAGCATTTGTGTAAGTAATAATTTTATCATTCAAACTCTAATGAAAGCCCATATACTTATTAGAATATACAAATAAATAATTGTTTATCACTTATAATTATTTTTGAGTTTTTGAATATGTTTAAGTCAATCTTTAATCTCTTAGAGTAAAAGATGAATTCTCAATTACTCCAAAATGCTAAAAAACATTTTCATAAAAATTATTCACTTAATTTATTTGATCTGTTAAATAAAGTTGTTCATCTTATTATTTGAGAAGATCATAATATTCTTAAAAAGTCAAATAATCTTCATCTTATTCATTTGATAAGATATAATCAAACTAATATTGTTATTTATTAAATTACTAATTTAGATTTTGAAAAATGAGACTCTACTTTTTCTATTACATTTGTACCATTAGAAGATATCATTATTGGCAATGGGGATCTTGGTAAATTTCTCTTAAATCTAAATTAAATAAATAAAATACTAATCATTAAATTCAATTAATTCTGATAGCTTTTATGCCATTTTAATAGATTTTCTATCTTAAAATAAATTCTTTAAATTTATCTAAAAATCTTGAATATGTTTTGACAAAATTTAAAAATCTGTTTAAAGATTACCATATCCAACAAAATTTTCATCTTTTTTATTTAATAAATCGTCAAATGATTAGCTTAAATAACAACTTGAATAAGAGAGTCCTTCAGTAACATCATTTTTATAAACCTAATTTTTTGTAATTATATAATTACTAAAGCAATTATAGAACAAATTATGATGATTAGATTTAAAATAACAATTGAGACGATGCCATATTTATGTAATCTTTTTGTATTTTTAATATATTCTTCATCTGTATGATTTTTTATCCAAACTACAACAGAACTAAAATCAACTATTATTTTAACTTTGGTTTTAAAACAATTATTATATACAAAATAGAAAGTATAAGGGTTCCAAAAGCAAGTATTATCCAAGGGATAGTGTAGCTAGATAATTAAGTGAAATAATCATTATTCGTTAGCTCATAACTGTTGTTAACAATAATTTCAATGTTTTCTTATATTTCAAAATGTGATTTAGCATATATTGAATTCCAAACTTCTTTTCTTTAAGTATCAGATATGTCAACTAATTTAAGTTTTTATTTTACAAAATTTTATATTGCTACATAATTCATTTCGAGTATTTGTTAAGTTAATAAAGGCTGATTAGTTAGTGTCTTAAGTAAAGCTTATATAATTCAGCAAGTTTAAAATTAATAAATTGACCTTTTGGTTTAGTTTCAAAGTCATTTTACCAAATAAATTATTAATAAAAAATCAATTATTCTCAAAATTTTCAAAATAAAATAATTTGTGAATTTTATATAACTTACAACATAAATTCAGCAAAACTTTAATAAGGTATTATTTAACATTAACATAAATTTAAGTTCAATTTAAAAAGAAAAATATTATGTATTTAAAAATAGTTATAACTTATGATATTAATTATATATCAATAATAAAGATTCCAAAATCTTTAATTCCTATTTTTTTTGCATTAATTTATCATATCCATCCATAGATTCTAAAGTAGGTTGATATATTTATTTTGCTTCTATTTCAATTTCTACATATACTATACTAAATATTCGTAAATTTTAATCTTAAATCTTAGAAGAAGTTCTTAGAGATGATGATATTAATGAAAAACATGTAAATAAGGTTTGTAAGATTAATGCTTTGATTTAAGAAGCCTTAAGATTGAGGAATCCGGCATTTGTTACTCTTTTTAGAATAATCAAATAAGATAAATAAGTTAAGGATAATTTAATTAGAAAAGATTTTTAAAGAATCTAAATTATTTCAAAATGATAATGGATTTATTCATATTCCTTATGTATATGGCAATGATAGAAATAAAAATTAACATAGCTTTAATGTTAGATATATATAATTGAGTTAAATCCAGCTCTTTAATAGGAGTTAAATTTTTATAATGCATTGATTTAGATAATTGTCTGTTATTTGAAAAAAGAATTTGAACCAAATCATTAAAACAATATAATTATAATATAATATTTATTATTTAATAATATTAAATTGAATGATTAGACTTAAATTATTACTAAATATTTAATTACTTGTACTTGATGAAGGAAAATAATTCACTTGTTAATAAATTTAAATTAGATATATAAGAATAAATTTATAAATTAATTATATTGGACATAACATCACTTTTTTTTAAATCTAATGAATTAGAAAGCAAATACTAGTTACTAAGTCATTATTTTTAATTCAATTATGCTTTATTAATTTGATTCTTCGATTTAATTAGTATAAAATTTTCAATTTTGAATCAATTAAAATTTAGAAAAGTAAAATGAAATATAAAGGCATATTATTCTTATAAAATAATATTCTTTGATAATGTAAATATTATTGATACTTATAAATTATAAAGGAAAATTTATAATTAAAAGTTTTTTATTAATTATCAAATACCAGGAGGGAATTTCATCATTTCGAATTCTTTAATAATTTCTTTAAAAGATGGTCGCTTTTCTGGATCTCTATCCCAGCATCTTTTAGTAAGTCTGGCGAATACTTCAGGTGTTTTTTTTGGCATGGTTGGTCGAAAATCATTATTTAGCACATCTAAAGAAACTTGCAATCCAGTAATATCTAATATAAAATAAAATAAGAATATTACTTCTATATGGAGGTTCTCTTGCTGCTATTTCCCACAATATTATACCAAAACTAAATACGTCAGCTTTTTCTGTATAAATTTATCCAGCAATAACTTCAGGTGCCATCCATTAATATGTTCCAATTTTACTTGTCATATAATTAGATAGAGTTCTAGTCCATCCAAAATCAGCTAATTTTGTTCTCAAAGCTTCATCCAATAATAAATTAAGACTTTTTAAATCCCTATGTAAAATAGGAGGATTGAATGAATGTAGATATAATACCCCTTTTGCTGCATCCAAAGCTATTTTTCTTCTGTCTTCCCATGTTAAATGAATATCATGATTTTAGATTACTTACCATAATGAGCCTCTTGAACAATATTCAAGAACTATTGCTAAATTAGGAGGTTTTGTACAAGCACCTAAAAACATTACAATATTTGGATGTCTGAGTGCTTCCATTGCATGACATTCAGAAAGAAAATCTCTAATATGATTTTCATTCATCCCATCTATTTTAAACATTTTAACAGCAACTGTTGTTTCTCTCCATTTAGCCTTATAAATGACTCCATAACCACCTTCACTTATTTATTTTTCAAGCATTATATCATTAAAATCAATATCTAAACTAGATTAAAATATTCTATGTTTAATTGGTCTTTCAGGTGATATTTCTAAAGCAGATATATCAAATTTGGATTATTGTTTTTTTATTTATCTTTAAATATAAGATTCGTTAGTTTAAACCTTTTAATCTTTAACTTTCTTTTTCTATAGAATTTCATTCTTCATTCTATCATATTTCGATTGTAATTAAATATTTTATTATTTTAATATTTCTTATTCATTTCTATATTTTTCAACTTCTTCATTTAATTTATCTGATTCTTTCTAAGGATTTTCATTCTCATCTAAAACAATTTCTAAATAAGATGATGATAATAACAATGTATGAAAATTACCACAAACAATCTTTTAAGTTTCAGGAATAGTAAATAATAATTTAGGAGAAATAATACCTTTTTGATTAACACTAGGTTGACCATTTAATTAACCATAAATATTTGATCCCCATCCATATATCTATTTATAATCAGCTGACAAAACAACACAATGATTTCTTCCAGAAGAGATTTATGAAATTAAAGGTATTCCCATAACTTTAAGAGGTTTATCTGTAGAATTTTATTCTATTCCTAATTATCCTTAAATGTTTTCACCCATAGAATACACTTCTCCTTTACTTGTTAAGAATATAGTGAACATCTCTCCCATTTTAATATCGAAGACACACTATTAAGTATTTAATTCATCTATAATTTTAATCTATTATGGTTATTTAAAGTAATCTTTATTAGATTTACAAACTCCCCAAATAAATGGTTTACCACCTTCTATAATACATCCTGAATGAGCTAATCCACAACATATTTTATCAACTTTATATTATTATAAATTTAATATCTGTTTGAATTCATTAATAGTTTAATTTTCAGAATGTCCTAAAGCATAAGATTCTCCAAATCCACATGAAAATACTCTATTTTTATTTGTTAAGACAAGTGTATGTAATGCTCCACAAGCAATTTATTAAACAGCTTCATCATTTTATAATAATATTTAACTTTGTGTTTCATTAGAATTCTTTTATTTAATCTTTTCTTTCATCATAACAATTTATTCCATTATATTATCAATGGAATTAGATCTCTCATTTAAACTTGGAGATGTTTATTAATCTCCTTCATTTGAACTCTTCATTCTTTTATGTCCTACATATTGTTCTCTTGCCTTACTATTACTTGTACCGAAAGGTAAAAGACCATAAACAAGAGTTGGTTAAAAAACATTATCAAAACAACCTAAACCTAATTATCCTTTCAAATTTAAACCCCAAGAATAAACTTCTCCTTTTGCTGTCAACATTAAAGTATGTTCTGCTCCACAAACTATACTTGTTATTCTCTAATCTTTAAATATTGGAGTCAATTTAGTTTAACTATTAGATTCATATCCTAATTAACCAAATTAATTATCACCAAATCCTATTACTTCATTTTTATTATTAACTATTATAGTATGATTTTCTCCAGCGGAACATAATGAAGCACCCTAATAATGAGGACTTATGTTTTTATTTGATTTTAATAACTATCCACATGTATTCAGACCTACATATATTCTTATCTCATTATACCCCATGAATATAATTATAATGTATCTAATTATAATTATCTTGGAGATTTAGAAAAGTCACTATATGATCTAGGTGGTCTTATATCTTTTTCTTTTAATTATTTTAACATCTTTCTTGATTCATTCAAATCATTCAATCTCATTAATTACTTTTCTCAATTAATTAAAATTCAAATTTTTTTATTGTAGTAGTATTTTTATTTATATATATTAATCTTTCATAATCTCTTTCTTAAATTCCAAACTGCTCCCAGAAACTATTCAAATTAAGTATCATCATCTATTAAAGCACTTAAATTATTATAGTAGTCTATGAATTCTTCAAAAGTTACATTTGGATTTTTTAGATAATCTCCTCCAGTCTATAATAAGTAGACTAAATTACAAATATTAAATGATGCTATTCAAATGTATCAATAAATTCACATAGAATTTCATCTTCTCTTTTTTTATTCAATTTCACATCTGGATGTTCCTTAGAATTAAATTAATCTAATTATTATTTCGATTCATACTTTTTATAACTTCAATGTTTTATTTAGGTAAAGATTCAAATACTTATTATAAAATATTAAATTTCCTCAAACTCAAAGTACCTTAAAGTTATTTAATAAAATTGTCATATATAATCATTCCATTAGTTTATAATTAATGAAATACATCCTAAATTACCTATTCATTCAAATCCAATTTCCAAGCTTTAAAACAATTCAACCAATCATTTAAAGATAAGGATCCTATTCTTAATTAATCAAAAATTCTAAATCTTGATTAAATATTAATTAATCCTCTTATTCCTCTTTATAAAATCTTATTTTTTAATATTTAAAAACTATCTATTTTTTATTTCTATTATTTAGGAGTTTATTCAATTTATAAATGATATTATTATTATTAATTCTAAGATGGCTATTATGATATTTAAGAATGACTTAATTGTACATTTGATTTAGAAATATTATCCTAAAGTGGTTTAAAAATATTGAAAGATGCAGGTTATTCATAACTAGAAACAGGTCTTTATTATTAAGAATGCTCTTATTAAGTAAAAGTTCCAAATGGTGCATTTGCAGAAACACTACCACCTTAAACAACATAACGATGATGATCTTATAAATAACTTCGTTTATGATCTGGTTCAAAAACTTATTTATTACCAGCATGATGACTTTTTTATTGTTCTGCTTATATTTTAAAAACAGTAACAAGGATTTATTCAAAATATTTGTCATCAGGAATTGATGCACTAAAATTACTAAAGTATTCTATAAGTTCATTTTTATTAATATTCTCATTCCCAAATCCTCCATTTATATTATGTAATTATTATAAAGGTTCAAAGAAATCTTAGATTAGTTCATCATCACTCTTTTTTCCACTTTTTAAATCAGGATGATTTCTTACTATGAAATTATTTCTTAAATTTGAGATAGATATAAATTCACCTTATCTATATTTTTCAAATAATTATTCTACTAATTATAATCTCTATTCACTCATTTCACCTCTTAATACAAACATAAATCCCCAAATATCAATTAATCCTGATACATCTCTATCAAAATATTAAAATACTAAATCTATTTCTGGATCAGTTACTTCAATTTTATGATCTCTAATAGCTCTTCTAAATTCTGATAAATTTAACAATCCATCTTAATCAGCATCTAAGATCTTTGATACTCTATATAAAGATATAAATCCTCTCGCTCCTCTTGATATTAATCTATTTCGAATTCTTTAAACTATCAATTCTACTTATTTAGATGTTGCAGATAATTATGATTATTAAGATTGATGTGATTTCTATGATTGATGAGATTTTACAGACTTAGGTACTGATTATCTAGACTATTCTAAAACAGCTTCTTATATATTTTATTATATTGGTGTTCTTTATAATTAAGATTGTTAATATTATTAATATGATTTAGTTGATTTATTTTCAGGAGAAAAATTTAATTATTAATTCACTTGTCTTTAAGATCCAGGTGATTATTATAATTATTGTTAATAAGACTTTTATTTTACACTTTATTGTGGAGATGCTTATTATTATTATTATTATTATTATTAATTGAATTAATCTAAGTTCCAAACTTGAACTATTATATTTCGAAAGATTTCATCATTTTAAATATTAAATCCAAAATATGAATAAAAGTCCAACCAATCCTATAAATTCAATACTTTAATTGCTCTCATCTATAAATAAAGACTAAGTCCTGTAATAAACTCTTCTTTAATTTGATTTGAATCTCTTCCCAAAAACTTAATTTCAGGATGCCTTTCAGATTAAAATCTGTTTATTAAGAATTAAGGTGTTAATTCTCGAATCTCAAAAGAATAAAATACATTAGTCATTAATGCTTATCTAAATTAATTCATTAACTGTCCTTTTATTAAACCTATCAAATTAGATTAACTCATGAATTCTCCATTAAATATTTAATATAATCCTTCTACATCTATCCCTTATCTTCTTAAGTAGTCTTATAATTGTTGACAGTTAAATTAATTTGGTAAACTAATTCCTAAATTTAACAAACCTAAAGCACCCTTTAATTAGATCTTTGCTTTTAAGGATTCTAATGGGGAAGTTATTATTCTTGATTCACATTAATCCTCTATATTTGTATCCTTTATAACAACCCTATTGATAAAATCTTTATAATTAAGTTATAAACCATCTGAATAGTGAACCCATAATTTTTCACCAAACTACAATAAGATATTCAACATACATCTTGCTCAGTTATTGTTACACCAGATTTAGCTATTGCTTTAAAAAAGTCTTATTTTTTTAGATATCCTGAATTAGTCAAATCAAAGAATTTGAATATTTTAAGTAATACAGTATCAATACCAACTCTTGATGAAGCTTTGAATTGTAATTTTGTTACTAGTTCTTTTTCAAATTGCTGAATATCCATTTTAACGATAATTTAAATTAATTTATATGAAAAGTCAATCCTTCTCATATATTCAATCATTGGAATACTTTATGATATTTTCAGATTCAACTACTCTAAATACAGTATTAAGTATTAACTTTCTCATTAATTTGTGTTAAAATACAGAATTATCATTATGGCATATTAATAAATGTTTATGTTAACATCTATGATTATGAATGGATTACAATAAATTAATTATGTAAGATATATATAATATTATAAAATATAAGAATAGACAGATAATAAATAAAGTATAAAAAGTTGTAATGTTAATCATAATTCTATTCACAAACTTATAAAGGTTGCCTTATCTCTATATTTTATAAATATTTCTTTATCTATAATTTATCTATACTCATAATACTACTGCCATAACCTTATATAGTTTAATTCCAATAAGAATGTTTGAGACTACCATTTGAAATATTTCAATATTTATATATGATTGGTCAGAGAGTTAGATTTTTACTAATCTTGACGAAAGCTGTATCTATCTAACAAATTAATTCTTCAAGGTTTAATTATTTAATAATTATTCAGCCATAATAAATGGGAGTATGAATTTATTCTCTTGTTTAATTTTAAACAATTATATTAAATGATTGGATTAGGGTATACAAAATAAAGTAAAAGAATTTCTCAATAGAGTTAAACCGTTATTATAAATAAATTAATTGCACTTCTTCAAAATATTATTCTTTGATAGATAATATTTGAAACTTTGTGAACTAATCGAATTATATAAATCTATTTCAATCTCTAAACAATAAATACAATTAAAAGACACAATAATTATTATACTATTTGTTTTATCTTATTAGACAATAGTAAGCAAGAAAAAACGAATTCAGTTTAAATTGTTTTTAAATTAATGATAATTTGTCATTTCTTAATTGTAATTTAATAATTCTTATTGCTTAAAAATTCCAATTACAATCAAATTTTTTTAACAATTTTGCTTACTGCTTCAATCTCAAAACAAGAATTTGAAGTATCCCCTTAAACTAATCTTCTTTAAATTTACTTTGAAGATTATTTTAGATATTTTTTTTTTAAAAGAAGATATTCAAATTATCGCATTATAGTTTTATTTCAAAACTATCATAAGCAATAAGTTCCAATATTGTCTTTACTATGAGTTCATATATGAATCTAAACAAAAAAATATTTTTTAATTATTATAGTTCTTAAATGAAATTAAATTAAGGAATTTTATTTGATATTTGAGAATTTTTACCTAATAAATTCTCAATTCAAATAAACTAATTATAAAACAAATTAAATATTGTATTTTAAATTAGATGCTTAAAATAAATTATCGTTCAATCACAATTATGATTTAGAAAATCTATTATTAATAAATAAAATGAAGTTGTTTCAACACAAATTAAAAGATTGGTTATTGGGGTTATTTTTAAATTAAACTATTGGAAAGAACATAAATGATTAAAATTTTGAATCAAAAAAATGTCAATTCTTAATTTTGTTTAAATAAGTTTTGAAAATAGCAAATTTTTGTTAAACAAAGTAGAAGTGAGTCTAACAATAACTATTATATTTGATAATGATATTATTTATTAATTATGAATTAAAGTAATTAAAATATAGTGATTAGACATGGATTTCAGTGTAAAAAAGAAATAAATTATTACTAAATCTCTGCAGTACTAATTTACTTAGGGCATTATTTGATGATTCTCTTTGAAACTTTAGAATATGTAAACATAAAATTTTTGAAAATTTTATCAGAATCGCATCTGGATGTTAGTTTCGCTCTTCACATTTTTTATCACTTTATTTTGGTTTATTGCAACAAAAATTGATCCCACCGATCCTGAAATATATCATTAATATCGTTTGAAAGAATAAAAGTAATAAATTTAAGAATAATCATAGAGCAAAATATCAAACAAAGTTAAATTGTTATTGTAAAATTTGTTTAGCTTTTGTTAAGACATCATCAAAACATTGTAAATCATGTAATAGATGTACAGATCAATTTGATCATCATTGCATTTGGTTGAACAATTGTATAGGATTGCAAAATTACAAATTTTTCTTTATCCTAATTGTTTTATTAGAACTATATCTAATTACTGTATTGATAGTATGTTTTATGATAAAATCAATAATTGGTTATATTGAAATAGGCTTTACGTTTTTGTTACTAATACCAATAACATTTTTACTTTTTATGCATATATATTTTCGATTTAAAGGAATAACCACTTATGAATATATATTATTAAAAAGAAAAATCGCATAAAAAACATCAACAGAAAAGATAGATGAAAAATAATAAGAAAATACATCGAATCAAACAAATATTCAAACGAATATTGTTTCTAGAAATTATATTTAATAGACAAATTTGAATCCATTAACAAATAATTAAAAATCTCAAAATAACAAATAACAAATAGATTGGGATTAAGAAGATGCAGATGTAGAAGATGCTCAAAGTTTTCATGCTAAAGAACCTTTACCGTTGTCTAGTTAAAAGAGTAGTGGTAGGTAATTAGATTAATAATGTAATTCTGCCAATAGAAGAACTTGTCCAAATACTCATCGGTATTGAATTGGGTTATAGTATTAGAGGGAATACATCTGGGTTATAATTGACAGAACATAAACCAATAAAGTCTTTGTTTAATGTTAAAGATGTCCAAAATTTATATGAAGATCATATGATCAATAATGTAAATGAAGGGTCTATCATCCATTTTGATTCGAAACATTCATAAAAAACTGATTAATTAGATATAAATATATGATCAATTTTGATTACTTAAATACCATGTTGCTTCTTGGAGATTAAATAAGATAAATTAATCCTCCTATGGCCTATTACATTAAATACTTTGCAATTAAAAAAGTTCTTTCCTATATTAATAGCAAATTTCAAGTGCCCAATTTTATTGTATTCTTTATTATTATAAATCCAATAGATTATTGATAAACAAATTACTATCATTAGATAAGAGATAGATTTATTGAGAAAATAAAATGAAAAACCATTTTAATGATTTGAAACAGATATGAGGAATATTGAAGATTCAGCATTAAGATTATTTAATCATATTGATGATTTGGAAAGACAAGGATAAGTTGAATTATGTTCATCATTTATTTTTGCAGTTCATTTATTTTCTCTTTTAACCTTCTTTAACCACATAGAGAGGATTTTCATGAAAAAAGTTATTATATACTATTATTTTTGAGAAATATTCTGAATTTAAAGCAATAGAACAATATAATGGAAAGTAGTGGAATTTATATAAATAATTAGAAAATTAACATTAAAGTATTTGTAGAGAGTTATTTATTTGATATACCTCCAGAAAATATATGTAATAAACCTACTACTTTATCAGAAACTGATGCTCCTAAAATTGGATAATTAGAATGGAAAAAAATTTAGTAGCTTGAAAAATATGAGAATTTAGAGAAAGAAACAAGAAATAAAATTAGAGCAGCAATTTCTGAATTTGATTTTAAATAATATAAAAATGCATAACAACAGATATTAACAGCTATTGATTTATTAAATAATTTATTATAATGAGTTTTTATTAATTTATTTTACTAAAAAATTTATAATTTTTTTTTTAGAAATTTTTGAATTTTGGTTTTAGATCTTTTCTAATCTGAATAATTTTAAATAGACTTAATAAAATATCAGTTTTCTTAATAGAAAATTAATACTTTTGTTAAAAAAACAATATTGAAATTCTAAGTTTTAATTTATTTAAATTAAATTACGATATGGACAATGAGTCAGAAATTAACTTTGATGATATTTAAGATGATGATGGATTGTTAGATAATCAATAAAATGAGGCTTAATAAGATGAATAGAAAAAAAATTTAGAAAATGAATAGAATAAATAAGATTAACAATAAGAAAATCAAAAAAATTTAATGAAAGAAGAAGAATATGAATAATTTAGTTAAGAAGATGAAGAAGATTTAGTTAAATAGAATGATAATAAAAATTAAAAAAAAAACAATGGATGTTTTGATGATGATGATGATGATGATGATATTCAAAATATTTATTAAAACAAAAATGAAAAAAAAGAGGAATAATAAAATAAACTTGAAGAAGAAAATCAATTATTAAAAGATGAATAAGTTGAAAATTTAACTCCTCTTAAAGAATAGGATTAGGATTAGAATCAGGTATAAAATGAAATTAATCATAATAAATCTTTTGATGAAAGTAATAAAAGTTAACAATAATAAGAGACAGACTCTTAATTATAATTGGATAATTAATCATAATTACATTAATAAGACTCAGAAATAAAAAATCAATAAGATTAAAATTAATTTAATGAAGAAGTTACATCTTAAAAAGAAGATAATACATCTTAAATAGAAGATAACACATCTTAAAAAGAAAATACTACATAAATTTATTATGAAGAAGAAAATTAATCAAAGTCAACTGAAAATTACAAAGAAGATTAAAATTAATATGAAGAAACCAAGAAACCAATTGTTGAAAAAAAAAAATAAAATAAAAAATCTAAGTAAGAAATTTAAAAAGAAAAATAAGAAAAAGAAACATAATAAAAATACGAACTCAAAAAGTAATTAGAAAATGATCTGAAAGAATTTGAATAATAAATTCAAGAAAAAAAAATTGAAGAAGAAACAAAAAAAATTGAAGATAAAAAAAAAAGATAAGAGATGTATTTATTGTAAAGAAAAGTACAATACAACTCTTTATAAATAATAAATAAAGTTTAAATTTTATAACCCTATTTACCTTAAGTAAAAGCCAATTATAGAAAAAGAGTTTAAATTAGCGAAGATATATAAATGAATAAGAAAGCATAAGAATTAGTGCAAAAATATAATACTGAAAGATATGGATCATTAGAATAGTTTGAATTAAACTTTCAAAAGTCAATTAATGAAAAAAGTACTTTGTTTTAAACAAAAAATTCAAATTCAATAAAAGAAGTATAGAAATTAGAAAAAAATTCAAGTAGAAACTCATAGGATCCGATTAAATTAAATATTTTGTAATCAAGTTTATAAAATAAAAAGAAATGATTTTAATTTATAGAATGTTAACTATGATATAATCTCTACTATTTTTATGATAAATTTTTTAATGAATGTACTCAAAATTAATATTTCATTAGAGAATTAATGATTGCTTGAAAAAGAAGTCATAAATTTAGTATATTCTGTATAATAAATATATTCTTAATTTAAATAGTATGGAAGTAGTAAAACAAAGATTCAATCGATATTTTAGAAATGATATTATATTGTTGAATTTTAGCTTAAAAAAATAAATTATAATTATAGAAAAAAAGATTATATATATCAAATCAATGAAAGTCAACTTGTAATTAGTCCAATTTCTAAATTTTCGATAGCTACTTTATTTTTTTGATATTTTCTAATGATTGTAATACCAAGTGCAAATAGTATAACAATTAGCCATGTATATAGTACATAAGATGTCTCAAATCCATATAAGACTCCTGTAGGTTAATACAAAATTTAATTTGCATCACAACTATCTTCACAAGTATTACATTAACATTGTTATTTAAGTTCATATCCATATTGATCCCAATAATGAATAATTCCATTATCATCAACAGTGGTAATTTCTGATTTATGATTGCACATCCATGTATTATCCATAATCATAGAATCATGTTCTTAAAACTCAAAGGTAATAAATTATTATCCTTATGAACTTAGATATTCAATAAATTTAAATACATGGCTTATTCTCCTAAAAAATTGAAAAATCCTCCAGGTGATTACATAGCTGATACTTAATTGACAAAAGAAGTTCTAGAACATGAGGAATAAACTTCCTAATTTAATTAGTTGAATATATTTACACATGCTATAGTTGGTTTAGTTCTTAAGGATACAAGTTATACTTCTATTAATTTATTTTTATTTCCAGGATCTGTAACATTAGCTCTACCCGTATATTCCATGAAATCTGTTTGATCTGGATCACAAGTATAAATGCACCAAAATCTCTTCAAATTAGCTCCACAACTAAAAATAAACTAGGATTTAAAAATACATATCACATCCTCCTCCATCTTAACCAAATGTTGCATCAATTGAACGATAATTTGAAGTCATTTAATCTATATTATCTTGTCTACAACAAACTGGTTAATTATCATAAAATGGACATGGTGGTATTTTACCAATTATCATTGGTGTTCTAGTTTGATCTACACATGCTGAAAATACAAAACTAAGAAATTGCTATGAAATAATTAAAAAGATTTAAAATTTCATAATATTATTAAATATTTAAAGAATATTATTAACATTAAAATAAACATATATATCTAAATAATATATATATATTTGATTCATCTTTATTAATATGTTCTACAAGTGTAACATAATATTTTATTTGTATTATTAGATCCTTAACAATAACTATGTCTAACAACACATCCACATTTCTTACAAAATAACATTGATTCCATATCCTAATTTCCATGACACTCTTCACAACATTCATCATCTGCTACTATAAAACTGTCTCCTGCATCATCTTTTATATTTATAGTTATTTACATTAACTATCTTAAACAAAACTTGATTGATGAATAGAATTTTAAGCCTAACTCATTTATTCTTCATACTCTTCATCATTTTCATCTAAATACTCTTACTTTTTTATTTTTTTTTTTATTTTTATTAATTGACCTCTTAAATATTCACCATCATCTCCTCTTATACATATTGTATACTAACAATATTTCATATTATACATTTTTATATTATTTTCTACACAAAGGACAATTATTTTAGTATTTTTCGCATTATATTTATATACATTTTTAACAAAATAGATGTCCACACTATAAAATAGCTGCTTATATTATCTCTAAATCAATATAACATACAGGACATGAAGTAGCTTCTTACTAAGCTGCTTAAATTATTATTTCTTATTTTTTTATTAATTTATATTTTTTCTTTTTTTCAACAAAATTTTCTTTTACATTTTCATCTTTTTCTATTGTTTCACCTTCATCATCAAAAATAACTTTTCTATTTCTTTATTGCAATTCATTTCTTCTTAAATCTTCATTTATCTTTTCAAAATCATTTCTAACCAATCTTTTTTTCCCTTAATTTTATTATATTAATTTTGGTTCTTCACTCTCATCACTTGATATTATTATTGCCTTTTTTTGAATTTTCATTGGATTATATGATGAATTTCTGATTATTTATTAAAAATAACATTAAATTAATAAATGGAATAATCTAAAAAATTAAAATTGATTTTCAATTCAATCAAACCTTCTTTCTACTTTAAACTTCTAATTAAGATTAATTATTGTTTATTTAAAATTAAAATAATTACAGAAGTTCTCTAAATATTTATTCATCAATGATTTCAAATTAATTATCACAAATATATTTTATTTCCTTGTTTAAATATTCAAAATCAAATGATAAATATAAATAAATAAGAAATACAATTATATATTCTAATCTTTTTATTTTTTTATTTAGAAGATCAATTAATTTATCTCCCAAATAGATTTTATAATAAACTAAAAGTATATGTTAGTAGATAAACATTACTCATTATAAATATCATATTCGATTGAATTAGAATAGTTTCAATAGTATTTCAATTGTGAATTAAGCTGGAAAAAAATAATTTTAGAAGCAACAATTTTAAAAAATAACAAATTTTTAAATATTATAAAAGGTGGTTTTATGATTGAATGTAAATTAAATAAAATATTATCATTCTAATTTAACTTTTTTATTAGTTTCTTCTGATTCACGATAGGCTTTAAACGAAACAGCTAATTCATAACATCTTTATTTCATAGACGAAATCCATGGTACTCTTTTGTAGGAGGATATTTTCTTATTATTATATAAGATTATACATCAATTTATCCAGATGCAATAAATTTCATTACTTATTTTGTCATATTTTAAATTTTTTCATTATTTTCTTAATCCCATATTTCATCAAAGTTTTCTATATATAAAATATAGTTTTATACCTAAATATTCAAGGTATCCTTAATAAAACTTATCAGAAGAGAAAATTTTTTTTAAGAAGGAATTGTTCATAGTTTTGTTTTATGATTCTGATCTAAAAGGTATTAATTCCTCTATATTGTCATTAGCCATAAAATATTCTTTATAAAAGACCTTTTCAATTTCATATGCACTCATTGTTAATTCATTTAAATTCATTTTTTATTTGAGATATTTAAAACACTTTCGTATGATAAACTTAATCTATTCTTCTTTTGTTTTCTTTTATTTTTGATATCGATTAATAAGTGCGTCTATTAAGGAATCATCTATTTTTGTTAATATCTAAAATTATATTAATTTCATACTGTATATCGATTTTTTTCATTTTCTTCCATTTCCTTAACTTCATTTTTACTCAAATACTCTAAAAATTATTTTAGTTCTTATAATATTTGATCTTACGAAAATTATTTAAGAATTTCATTTTCTTTCTTTTACTTGGGTAACACCCTTTCAGATTAACTTTTTTTAGTACGAATATCTGTCTATTAAGCTGAAGGGATTGTTCTTTGAGATGATTAAGAAAGAAGAGAAAATTGTTGAAGAGGATTCAGTGAAGGAATCTGAACATTTTATTGATTTGTACTATTACTTTGAAGAGCGCTAAACAGTTGCAAATACTATGTTATTTATGATATTTTACTTGAAAGTATTGAAACTATTATAGTTGTTGCATTTATTGCATTTATGAAAAATATTCTTGTTATCCTGAATTCATAAACTATTAAAATGGATTCATAAAATAATTAATATTCTCCCAAATAGTTTTATATTCAACTTATATTGCCAATATTGAAACTGAACTTTATCATTTCTCCTCTAGTCAATTTATTTAATTTAAATAGACCATTATCTGAAGGTCGATAATCCAAAATAAAGGATAATAAAATTCATTTGTTTTTCAATTCCACTTCAAATTTCTATAATCAAAAAACATAATATAAAAGAAAGAAATTCTTTTAATATTTTATAATCTAATACAATCATATTGATAACAATCAACATTTATATAGTTTTAATAATTATTTTTACAATTAAAGTAGTTTTTTTAACTGAAATTTCACTAATCAAAGTAGCTAAATATTCACTCTAAAAACATAAAAGAAAACCAATTAAAAAACAAATTTTTTTTCACATAAATGGGTAATTTTATTGCTAAAATTTTAGGATTTAACAATTAGAAGTAATAATTTCTTATAAAAAGTATTAATAAATTAATTAGTTCATGAAAAATAATATTTTATTAGGTTTTAACTAAATCAAAAATTATTTTGATTATTAAATTGATATAACTAAAGATTTTTCGCTTCATAAATGTATAAAAAAAAGATAAATCTATCAAAAACAAACTTTTAAAATTTTCAATATTATTTAATAAATGTTAAAAAGAAGTGTAAATTTATTAACAACTAAATAAATTTCTCTCATAACATAATGTTTAAGAAATTAGAGTTTATGTAGTCTAAAAAAAATATAATTTTTTGTTTAGAATTTTAGAGATTGATTGTTTTATTTTTTATTATTTATGAACGTTGAATAAATTTTACAAGGTCTCAATCCAAATACTACTAATATTAATTTAGAGTTTAGGTATAAAATATATTCGATAATAAGGTAACTTGATAGCATCAATCATTTAATTGAGAATTTTGCTAGATTTCAAAGATTAAAATATGTAATAGATTTTATACTATTTTTAAGATTAATCTATAAGGTAATAACCTTACTTAATTGAGCAATAACTTAGCAATACTATTCATAGAAGAATTGGATATATCATAAAACCCTTTGGATTTTGAAATTGTTATAAAGCAATTATAATAATTATCTAAGTTAACGAAATTGCAGATCACAATAAAACCTGAAGAAGCTTAAATAATATAAGAATGTTTACCACAATTGAGATTTCTTAACAATCGTGAAATTAACCCTGTAGCTTTTAAACAAAAAGATTTAGAATAATATGCAATACAATTTGAAAAATTGATAGAGATATCAAAAGATGATAGGTTAAGAAACCTATTTGATGAACATGTTAAGAATGTGATGAAAGATCTCTCCTTAAGATTATCAAAGGATTTGCCTGTATTTAAAGCAAAGACTCATTTATTAAGAGCAAAATATGCTTTATAGGAACTGAATTTTAATATGATAATTGAATATACTTAAAATTTAGATTAGAAAGTGAGTTCATACTTATAAATGGTTCATGATGATCATGCAAATATTTTTAAAGAATTAACGAACATCATATTAAGTCAAGATTCAATGAATCCAGTAAGTTAATATATAGAAAAATTGGAGAAACAAGAGTTATTGATAAAGTAATTGGAATCAGACTTATAAGAGTAATAATAAACAATATAAATGTGTTAAGAAGAGAATCAAAAATATTTAGACCTGATAATTAGACATGGAAAAGCTAATTATGATTCAAAATAATCATATTAAAATTTTCAATAATAGTAACAGGCCTTGAAACCCACTAATAAAAAAATTGATACTTCAATTATAAAGGAAAAATCTTTACAAAGTAGTTAATAAAATGAGGGATCTTTATTGTCCACAGCAAAATTAATACCATTAAAATTATTGAAAGAATAGATTTAAGAAATTTATGATTCTAAAGCTAAATATGATTAGAAATGCTAAGAGACAAAATAAGCAAGGGAAACTATGGAATAACATATGTACACATATTTTAACTAAAAATATGGATTAAAGGTAATATCAATATTAATTTAATTAGAATATTATAATTGAATAGGCTAGTACTATAATTTAGAGTGTTAAAAGATTAAGCTAGGAAGATAATGATATATGTGTTTTTGGTAAAATTTTAAGAAATGAATGTGATGAAGAATTTAGATTTGTTCAAATTTAAGTAAAATAAACAATTGCAGAACTGTTACGCATGTTTTTGAGATAGAAAAACCCTTTAAAAAATATGACAGATATCAAAGAAATTTGGAATTAGAAAATACAAAATTACTTAAGTTTTGAAGAATGTTAAGAAATTGTAACTTATATGTACAATCAAGAAGATAGTTAAGTTTTATTATAAAAATTGAACTAGATTAAATTATAAGGCAATAAATTAGAATATTGTTAATTTGTATCTTCTATCTTAGATTTTTAACTATTCACTCATGAGAAATATTTGTAGAAGTTTCTTAAGCTATTCAGATAAGTAGATATAGAGAAAAAAGGATATTTATCAGATGTAAAATATATATAATCTTAAAGGTTTAATTTCGATAATTGATGAATTCGACAAATCTAAATTTAAGTGAGGATGAAATAAATAAATTTATGTGCATACTTGATCCATTTAATACTTAATAAATGACATTTTCTTCAATAGTCTCATTGCTATCAAGTGTTGGAAGAAATCAAGTGACTTTATTATAAAAAATTTAATGATTATTAAATATAAATATATTGTCATTTGCTACGAGATGAATTAGTGATGAAATAATTTTATTTTTATACTTCTGCCATAATAATATAATAAATCTATAAAAATTTTGTTTTCTAGAATTAGGATGAGATAAAATAAATTTAGAATAATAGCTGATTTCGATTCATTCTTTTTTTTTATTTATTAAAAATGTCTAAAAAAATGAGACTTAACCAGATCTCTAGTCTAACTGGGGATCACCTTAATCATCTCCTCTCATCTCCCTCTGTAGAAAAAACAAGAAAAAGCTTAAAAAAAGTCACATTTGATAGTTACGCTCTTTATCTTTAATTTAGAGCTTCTGACTGTCCAATTTAGGTTTAATCAACTTTGCAACAGCATCTTTTCAAAAGATCCAATTCAGATAATACATAACCATGAATTCATGATAATATCATTCATATTTTATTTGAATCTCTAAAAACATCTATTTTTTAGTCATTATTGTTGCTGTTTTTGTCATCATTAGAATTAGTTAAATAATTTGAGAATATAAATACAGAATGTCTAATAGAATAGGTTGGGATGAAGTGAATAAAGAAACAACAAATTTGTGCAATTTATATTACTGATGTTGAAAAATTAATCACTAAAATACATTACATAATGAGTAGAAAAAATAATTTATGATTCCAAAGAAGTTAGTTGTTCAAATATTAAAGATAGATAATTAAATTTCTTAGAGATATTATTATATCCTAAATCGTCAGACAATTATACTAATGGGGATTAATGTATGTGTTCAAGTTTAAAAAAAAAACTTAAAAAATGAATCAATCTCATATTCAAGTATGCATAATTATTTTTATATAATTAAAATATGCAAATATAAAAAAGAAAACAAAATAATACTTATGTTAACCATGATTCTAAATATGATTTTGGATGGCTTTTAAATTTTACAGATGCATTCTCAAAGTTTGAGTTGCAACAATCAAATATGAAGCCGTTACCAAAAGCTCTTTAGTAAAATGACTTTCTTCTATAATCTGAGATTTACACATATAATTTAGAATAAGAAAAATTTGTGTTACAAAAAATGGAATTATATCCTAATATGATTATATAGGATAAATAGTTTATAATATTGTCAACTTGTTCAATATAGAAGACAAGAATTGAATATCGTGAATTCAGTGCTTAAGGTTTAAAATTGAGTAATCAACTTGGATATACTTATTTGTTCTTTACAACATTAAAAGATTTAACGAATGTAAAGAATTTAAGTACATTTAGTGGACTAAATATGCTAAGAAATTCTGTAAATTGTCCAATTTTTTATAAAAATATACAATTAAAGAGAAAACAAATGTGCCTAATGTTTTTGCTTGTGTTAAAAATAAGAATAATTCTGTTTATACAGTTAATATATTTAGATTATAAGACTTTGACAAAAATCCATCACATTATGAATAATTGATGAATGAAGTGAATATTTTAATGAGTTTAAAACACCCTTGTTTGCTTAAATATTGTTCTCTATATGAAGACTAATATCATTTATATATATTATACGACTATTGGGTTGGAGATCCTTTATATAAGTTACTTGAATAAGGTTTAGTTTTGAATTCTATTTAAATATCGAAAATAGTGTATTAATTAATTAAATTTGCAAAATTTCTGCATAAGTAAAATTTGTATCATGCATAAATAACTCCTCAAAATATAATTCTATTAAGAAATGGTTCTTTAGATCAATTATAAATAGTATTAATTAATTTTGCATACAGAGAAGAAATAGGAGTTGTTTAATTAATAAAGAAATTACCGAAATAATGGGTACCTCCTGAAATGTAACAATGTAATATTCAATTTCCACAAAAAATTGATTAATATTAAATAGGTTGTACTTTGTTTTATCTTTGTGTTTATAAACCTCTAATTAAAGGGAGTTGTTAATCATTTAATAAATCAATAGAAAATCTTGATATATCTTTTCTAAGATTAAGATAAGAATCAGCTTTAGCAGAGAAATCCATCTTAAGTTTATCTTAGATTGATTTACTACAATATTTAATATAGCCAGATCCACTTAAACGAAGAGATCTATCAGAATTAAGTAATCATCATTGGTTTGTTAATGAAAAAGCAAAATTTAAATAAATTGGAAAATAAAAATTGTTACCTAGTTTAAGGACTATTTTAGAAATTAGGGAATAAAGTTCTATGGAAGTGAAATTAAGTAGACTAAATTAGAGATTAAGTATTACAAGCATAGAATCAGATAATGATGAAGATATAAATTTATAAGATCTAAATTGTCCAGAGGATAATTAATTAACTGATTTTATATCAATTCTAAACTCGTAGAACTTAAGTGTTCATAAATGCTGAAATTCTATTTCTTTTAATATAAATATATATATATATTTCATTATTTAGTACTTATACAGCTTTATTTTTTCTTTGTTTTTTTATTACTAACTGAAGTAGTTCTAATTGGGTATTTTTATTTATTTTTTTATTAATTGCTTTAATTTAAATAAGGATAATTTTAACTTGTTTTTACATTCCCTTATTATTACGATTAATTTATTAATATATTTAAATGATCTTTATAATTTTAAGTACTAGAAAATGATGAACCTTTTTCTATTTTATTTTTTGAGCAATTTACACTACTTTATTTTGAATTTTATTATGATGAATTTTCTGGTTAGTATTATTTTAAATAGAAATTGGAATTAATTTCTTTTGGATCTGCTTATAAATAATAGGGATGATTATCATCTTATGGATCTAATAATTACTCTTTTGATAAATACAAATTGCTTTTTTGACTTAACAAAAATGATCTGATTAGTTATTATAAATATTTACCTACTATCATTTTATTATTAATTTTACTGTTTTATTTACATAATTTATGGATGAAAATTAAAATCTTTAATTTTTGGACTTTTAACTTCTTATCCCAACATGTTTTTACCTCCATGATGAAAATCTTTATCAAATTCACTTTAAGTTCGATGTAAAATTTCTGATTGGAAATCCTCTAAAGATAATAAGTCAATATCTTAACGATTGTTGTTATTTTAAGGTGATAAATATGAAAATTAGTATTGAAATAATCCAAGGTTTTTTTTTTTTAATTTTGTTTAGACAGATGCATTAACAGTATCAAATTAGGTTTATATAGTTTGTTATTTTCCAACAGTTTCCTGAGATTTTTTCATAGGTTAAGTAAAACTAGTTTACATTTCCATATCTCTGACAACTTTTGGTGATACTATTACCAAGGATTTATCTGTTAATAATTCACTATAGAGCTGAGCTTTTTATTATTATGGAGATTTAGTACTTAATTTAGTGGGTAAATGTTCTTCCTCTTCAGTTTATTCAACTATAGTTTTTTTTGTGATAGCATTTTATTGACATTATTTCAAAAATTATGGGTATATTTCCAAAATTATTTCATCATAATTACTATTTGAATCATTTTTCTTATTAACTTAATCATTAGAAACTAAATTATTAACATTTTCCTTAGTTTATGTTTTAATAGAATTTTTTCTAGAGTGAGTTTTGCTTTGAGGGTTACTTTAAATAAGAATTTATTAATTTTTTTTTTATTTTAGATCTGTGTTATGATTTTGGTTGAATTAATAGCTTTATTGTAAAATTTCTTTTTTGTAATTGAATTATGAAATAGCTGCATTGCCATATAATGTAGCTGATGGAGATAATTAATCAAAAGTAGTTTGATCAGACGAATTCATTTTCAATAATTTCAATTAGAAAGCGTCTAATTTTTCTGTAATTGTACTTTCTTCCATTTTAGGCTAGAGATTAATCATTTTATCATTTAATGTCTATCTATGATATATATTGTTCATATAGATTCCATAAGCAGAATCTTAGAGTTTAATAGATTCGTTGAATAACTTTCTTTCATGCGATAGAGGAACAAACGATTAAGTTCTTTCTGGAGTTTCTAAATAGGATTTTTTAATATTTCTTTAATGTATTGATAATAATTGAAGTATTTTTTAGACTTTTTCTTTAGGAGTTGATATATGTACTGGTTCTTTATTTTCAGAAGATTATCTATTTTTTCCAACACTAACATTAAGTTTTCCTGGTTTTTAAACTTATCTTAACTTTTAGTGGATTCTTTTTAATGGACTTGATCTTGTTGTACTCTTTGATCTAATAAATTTCAACTGATTCATAAAAATTTATTTATAAACAAAAACAATGAAAAAAAGCTGAATAGTTTTTATAATATAATTAAAAAAATGGAATAGTAACATAAAGGTATTTATTGTAATTTTAAAATTAGGGAATACTGAACCAGGAGAGATGAATTAAAATTCTTAGTAATTATTTAGCACAAACACTCTATTTTTGAATAATATAGGGTTGAGTACAAACATTTCATCTAGTACATTGAGACATACATCCCCATAAATATCATTTCCCAAGGCAAATCGATTCAACACATAATCTTAATTGTAACTCCCAACAAAATTGGAATTACCTTCATAATTAGGAAAAAGGTTATAATGATAATTATAATAGATATACATAATAAGGATTCGGTAATAAGATAGTATTTTAATATGAATGGTAAAAGGTTAATGCTAAGGATTTGCCTAGTCCAGATCGTTATTAAGTTCGTTAAGAACCAGGGAACGATAAACTGAAGAAATCTTTTGGTTTATCATGGGAAGCTTATTCTAAAACATACTTACCTTATAATAAACATCAATCACCTGAAGTGGCTAGATATTTGCCAGGTAATATTTATATTTATTAGAAGGACCTGGAGAATATACTGTACGTTAAGATTTAGGTTAACATAGATATTAATTTTAATTAAAAGGAAAAGGAAAAATGTTTAATGATTAGAGAGAAAATGGTGTACCTGGACCTGAAGCTTATTAACCTTAAATTTGTTTAACAGTTCCTAATCGATTTTCAGTAAATTAAATTCTAAAGTTTTAGAAAATCTCATAAGGCATTGGTGAGAAAAAGAATCCATTTTAATCTTTTAGTTTTGCTCCTGGACCTGGAAGATATGAAACTAATTCTGCATTTGATAAAGTTAGTAAAAAAAGAGAGTTTATTACAAAACCAGGAGAAAGAAGACCTTTTATTTGAATTTTATTATTATTATTTAATGATTAAATAATTTTAAGTTGATGAAGAATAAAAGAAATTATAAAATAGTAGTAGAGGACAAGCAGATTAAATTAAAAGTATTTTTTTAAATAGAACTCTAGGTCCTGCATCAAATTAATAAAGATTAGATAGTGGTCCAGATATACCAATTTAAAAAATGACACCTTCAGCTTCTCCTTTATTATAAAATAATAAACCTTTGTTAGAATCTAAATTGGATGAACCAGTTAATCCTGGTATCACTCCCTTTTAATAATCTTCAAAGAAAATATAATTCACAGGCGTCAGATCAGATCAATCAATACAAAAATCTCCAGTTGAAAGAGTACCTTATGAAAAATACCATAGAAATGGTAATGTTAGTTTGTAATAATTAAATCTACCTAAATTACCCGGATTTAAATTAGAATTTGGCCCAATGTTTTTAATTATTATGGGTTTATCCTTTCCTTTTGGAATACTTTTAGCTTATATTAGTAGTGAATTCGATTCAGGAACATTTACATTTGTTAATTGTTGGCTTTTAATTGGATTATTTACTTTATCATTAATTCAACAATTATATACTCATAAAAATGGATTATGCAATTATATACTATCAAAAACAGAATTAGATTATTGGAATGAACCTAAATTTATTAAAATTATGTGGGGTATCCGAATAGTATTATTAATTGTAAATTTATGTTTAACTATTTATTATGGTTATTCAGTTTGGAATGATAATATAAGTGATTCAATCATATCAATATTTGTATTTTTAACTATTCTTACCTTTTGCAATATGATTTTTATTATTTTTATCTTTTACGTAATTATTGTTATTTATATTTTAAGGCTATCATTCCAGTAAGCAATAAATAATTAGTTGTAATCAAAGGAAGGGTAGATAGAATTTAAAGAATGTAGGAGAATATTTAAATACCATTATCATTCTAATTCTGCAATCAAATCCTTGGAGTATTTTAACATGGATCTGAAGGCAATATCTATCAAAGTACTATTGCTTCTTAAAATTATTAAAAATTTGTTAATGAGGTAGAAGAAAGATAAAGAGAACTACTTGTTGTGGCAAGATCAAGAAATGATAAATTATCTCACGATGCTAGTGATTTTGTTAATAAATTGACTAAGCAACTAAAAGAAAAGAAAGATAATCAAATGAACATTCAAAGAGTAAGTAATCCCGGTATTGCTCCGTTTGACATACTGGTTAATTATGTTTCTTTCTTTTTCTTATATTGCATAGGATTTCCTATTTTTCTCTATTTTGCTATGGCGTATCAAGAAGTTAAAACTGATTATTTGCCATTGTTATTCTTTCTTTATCCCTTATCCCTATATATATGGAAGAAATTTACATTAAGCTTTTTTACTATGAAATAATATGTAGATTATAATTATGAATCTAAAATTGTAATTTTAGGAGTTACATGTTATAGAATAGGAACTATGTCCGTTTAAAGATTGGGAGTTAGATTTTTTATAGAATTTTTATTGATCAAGTTTGCTTGCAAAATTCTTTATTATTGGATTTTTGTATTTGGTTATTATTTTAATTTGGACTAAAGAAAATAAATGTTTATGAATTACATTAGGGGCAGTGTTATTGATAATTCACAATAAAAAAACAAATTGTAAACCAAGAAGACCACTTTGATTCAATCTGCTGCATAAGTAAAAGACAAGAGACATTCTCTATATGAAGCCTAAGAATAAGAAACTCCTTCATTTTCTAAAACTGCTGCTAATTGGATACATGTTGACAATATCGAAAACATAAAAAAAGCCTTAGTTACAAAATAAATATTTGGATTTGTATTATAGGAAGTCTTCGAAATTGTAATTGCCCTCTTATTTATTATTCTCAGTTAAATTTTATATAATGAATAACAATAAACTTAAAAATGGTCTACATTTGATGTTAAAAGCGATGACCATCATATATTTTAATTAGAAATAGGACTTGAAATACTTGTTGAATTTGCTTTTTGTATCATTACAATTAGCTTTTATGTCAAGAAATTAAGGTAAATATATTTTATTAATCATTAAGAATTCCAAACACATATAGTTTTTTTCAATAAATTTAACATATCATTGGGAATGATGGATTGAAATCATTAATTTATGATTATTGTTTCGCTATTGTTGTATGTTTTTTAATTGTAGGGAATAAATTTGAAATTAAATGATTATTTATATATATTTATATTTATTATTATTTAATTATATCATAATTTTATGTATTGGACTTTCATTTCCAAACGAGTACTTTAAGATTTAGAATCAATACCAAATTCTAATCCTGTCCATAAAACTATTAATAATATAACATCGAAAATCAATCATTCATTTGAATTAGATTCCTTTAAATTATATTCAGCAAGTAAAATAAGATGCTAATCAACTCATGAAATAAGTGAAAAAATGGTTACTTCAAAATATTAAAGATTTCATGATATATAGATAGAATTTCCGATGGTTAGAAAAAGAAGACTTGCAAAAATTATATCAAATCCAAATGACTACTGCTGTAAATTTTTAGAATCAAAATTTTTTAGAGAGATCAAGGACCGGAAAAAGGGGAACTTTAGCAGGTACAATCTTGAAGAAATACAAGGATATTCGTTTAACTAATCCTTATAATGATAAAGTTTTGCAAAGTTCCTAATAAACGTATTAAATGAATCAACATTAGATAGGAAATGATTAGCTCTAGAAGAAGCATTCATACGATTTAGAGTTAATAGTAAATAAAGGAAAGATAATGTTCTAACGGAAGCTCCTCCCCTAAAATTCCAACAACAATAAGTCCTATTACTCCAATTGCACCAAAATAATGTATTTTATCTTATTATTTAGAACAAAATTATATCATTCGTTCCAAACTAGGTTAGTCTGTTGATTTAGGAAAATTTAAACATCCCCGTCAATTATAGCCTTTATCAGATATTACAAGTTGCTCTCCTAGAGCTGCTATTCAACCTTTAGCTTATAAAACCTTTCATCGAAAAACGAATTCATAAAATTCTATAAATTCATTATATGTCATGAATAAAGTATATGGAAATGTGAGCAATAAAAATCTACCTAAATCAATATTCAAAGTTAAATGAAATATGAGTTCAAACTATATACATATCATACATCACTTTATTTTCTCTATTATTATCTAGTATTTAATTTCTTAATTCCTATTTTAGTAACTAATTATTCTTTGATGTATTTTTCATTTATTTATTTCTTTCTGATCATTTAAAATCAAATAAGGTTTCGAAATTCATCTTATAAATTCCATCCCTCAATCAATTACATATTTTTTTTAACTTCAACTATTCTTCTCTTAAAATGTCAATATTCCTATTTGGCAAAAATAATCTTTTCTTTTTCAAAATGTTTCAGTCAATTAAGGCATGGTATCCATCTATCTTTCGATTGTTCCCATTTCTCTATTAATAAAATTAGCCTAATTCCTAAACATGATTTTTAAAAATTGGTTTTACTTCAAAATTTATATTGACAAAGTATAAGGCTATTGGGTTAACATAATTTGATTTTTTTATTTAGTTAAATAGTTTTGTATATATCTGAAATTGACTAAATTATTAATAAATTTTTCAGAATTTACGATAATTTAAGTTTGATGGTTTTTTTATCTGAAAAACAGAATTTTTAATTTATATTGTTTGATTACTATTGCTTTATCAATTACTCAAACAAGTATAAATTCTTATACTGATGAAATATTGTAATTACTTCTACTGATTATATCATATCAATTCATTCAATTCTCTATACAAAATTAAATACAATTCATGTAGCTTTTTTTAACATCCTTATTTTATTTTAATTTAAAATTTTCAAATAGCAATTTTATTTAAATAAATTAAATTAATTTTTATCAATTATTTTTATCAGATAAAAAAAAATAAGCTTTTGGACATTGTTAATATTATCTTATATAATGATAGAGGGATCTAAAATAGTTTTTTAGAATTTAATAATTTTATTTTTAACTATTTCATATGAAATCAGAATGTTATTATTTTAAATGTTCCAATTTTCGTTTAGTAAATCTAAAATAATCATAAAAATATATAAATTATATTTTTATAAAATAAAAATATACTACATTTATCTTACATTGTAAAAAAAGAAAAAAGCAAATTCATGATGTTAATATTTTATAATTTAAATCATGTTACACATCATTTATCTCTGTCATTCAATTCGTTCGCTTTTTCAAATTCTTGTTTTGCCTAATCCATTTTATTCATTCTTAATAATAAGTTTCCTGAAAATTAATAATATTATGAACCTTTTTCTTAGTAAAAACTTGCTTCATTTGGATTTCTTTAAATGGCACAATCAAAATTTTAAAGGGCTTTTTCAAACTGAGCTAGACATTTATACAATTAAGCTACACAATATTTTTAAATAAACCTTTCTAATAAAAATATTAAGCCTCATCAGGATTTAACGCAGCGGCCATTTCAAGTGATTCTAAAGCTTCTTCAAGTCTATTAAGCCTGAAGAGAACCATTGCTAACAATTAAATATTAATTACCTTTCTTATAAAAGACTTCATGGTCTTCTACTCCATTATTTGTTTAATTATCCAAATACTTTAAGACTTCTACTAAACGATTAACTTCATCTAATACTACTACTTCTATAAATTATAATGTTGTTTTTAACATTGTTTTTGATTGCCTTAAGGAACATCTTAAATTGGATCATTAATAAAATTTTAGAAATTTTCCTACAGATTTGGAGTGACCTATTAAACAACTTTTTGTGGTTAAGCTCTTTGATAATAGGATATAGTATACTATTGTTAATTTTGAACTTGCTATTAGGGTATTTGTTTATTAATAGGGATTTCATCATCTAATGGTGTTTCACTCAAAAAATTGGCTAGGTTTTATATATTTTCAGCAGAAGGTGACTAGGATGGAATTTAATTTTATTATCTAATAGTTATATAAATTCTTAAACTATTTTTGAGGTTAAATTTATGAATTTTAGTTTTCTTAGGTATCATCTGAAGGAGTAACTGATACTAGGGAAATTTATTCTTAAGCTTAATTGTTATTTTAAGCTGATGGAGTTTAATTTTGAGTTCTATAATTTATTAAAAGTTTAATACGTTTATTAATTTTCTTCTGTTTCATTATAAAAGTTGACTAAATGTTTTTGAACTTCACTAGCATTTTAATTTGTTGGAACCTAATCTTAATTTCTATCATTTATTAAGAGTTTTAAATACGTTTATTAATTTTCTTCTGTTTCATTATAAAAGTTGACTACATGTTTTTGAACTTCACTAGCATTTTAATTTGTTGGAATCTATGTTGGAACCTAATTTTAATTTCTATAATTTATTAAAAATTTTAAATACTATTATTAAGGTTAAATTTATGAATTTTAATTTTCTTAGGTATTATCTGAAGGGGTGGCTGATAATCGAGAAAATTAATCTTAAGCTGAATTGTTATTTTAAGCTGATGGAGTTTAATTTTGAGTTCTATAATTTATTTAAAGTTTTAATACGTTTATTAATTTACTTCTGTTTCATTATAAAAGTTGACTACATGTTATTGAATTTCATTAGCATTTTAAATTGTTGGAACCTAATTTTAATTTCTATCATTTATTAAAAGTTTTAAATACGTTTATTAATTTTCTATTGTTTCATTATAAAAGTTGAATACATGTTATTGAATTTCATTAGCATTTTAAATTGTTGGAATCTATACTACATTTTATTGATCTTAATTATTTTAATTGGCTGGAATCTAATTTTAATTTCTAAAGTTTATTAATAATTTAAATACTCTCCTGGCAATTATGCTTAGTGTTGTTATTAATCTTCATCATTTTGATTTTAAGGTTAGTCTCTAAATTAATTTTTCATGTGAAATTACTCTAAATTATTGGGATCATCCTATTTCTTGCATTTTTATTAAAGATATTCCATAATTTCGTTCCAATCATCTGGATTAACTTAGGGTCTCAAATCCACATCCAATTAAATTTAGTATTCTTCGAGAACCTGAAAATCTGAAATATATAATATTCTCTTACTTTAATTATATTAGTAAAGGGCAGATTATAATTCGTTTTTCTCAGCTAACTTAATGATTTGAATAATAACTGTTAGTTATTATTTTACCATTTAAGCTAAAATATGATGAAAATTTTACGTGGAAATTCTTAATGAGCTATCAAAGTTTATAGCTTTTTTTTCAAATTGAATCGTAAGGAGTTTAAAGAATTTTTAATATTTGAGCAATAACTTTCAAGCTATTCTATTAAAACTATTATATTGCAATAAAATTTATAAGCAGCCTTAAGATGTACCTTTTTAAGTTCTTCGAAAGCTTTTTCGTATTATTACATTAATAACAATGCAATAACTTGTTTATAGTATAATTATAGCATACTTTTTAAAAAATAAGCCTCACAATTATCTTTGTTCTTTCTAATAACCTAATCACAAATTACAATAGCTTGATTAAATAGTTCTAATTAGATTAGAGTTTAAGCTAATAAATAATCAAATAGGAATTACCTTTTAAAAGATATGCATCCACACAATCTTAATCGATTTAGAAAATATTTTCAAAATTTCCAAGTGCATCATTAAAACGCTATTAATCATATAATTATTTCCCTAAAAAATTAAACAAATTATAGACCTTATTTAATATATTCTTTTATTTTTTTTAATTTTTCTCTGCCTGGTTCATCTTCTAATAGATATTCAATATCATATTATTTAAGTTAATTGATATATTTATCAAGTTCTTTGAATATTTTAGCTATTATGTGCATACAAATATATACCTGGTTTATTGTTATCAACCTCTTCTTTAAACTTTTAGAATTTATCTAAATATAATCCAATGCTTTCATAATTTTCATCTTTCACAAATTATTGAAGATCTTCTAACATTTTTGTTTCTTCTTCATTTTCTTTTAATACGCTGTCATAATATTCTTTGAATTCTTTTAACTTGACGTCAGCTTCCATAAGTTTTTAGTTTTCGGGTGATTAAAGCTCTAAAATGAATTTTTCAAATTCTTCTCCCTTCTTTAGATCAGCCTGATGGCCATTGTGATCATTTTCACAATTTTCACAAAACCATCCTTCTTCACAATCTTCATTTTCACAAATCCCAATAATTAATTTATCATTACCTTCAATTTTACATTCACACTATTACATTTGCAATCAATTTAATTAATTCAAGAATAAGATAATAGAATTAGATTATAATCTATTCAAAAATGATTATATATTTGTCATTTTAATCATTATTAAATTTATTCTGTTGGTTTTACAGTTCCTCTTTTTCTTGTTGTGGTAACAGTTGTGGTTGATTGCTAATATATATAATTTAATTTACTTATTCATCGCTATTTTTAAGAGATTAATTTAATTTCAATTATTCTAATTCAGTTTCATACTCTTTTAATCTAATTTATGTTTCGTTATTTTATTTTGTCAGATTTAAAAACTTATTTTTCCATGTTTCAACTTCTTAAGTTAAAGATATGGTCTAGCTTGATTTTTATGATTACTCTTCAAGTTCTGCTATTCTCTTCTTTAAATCTCTAATTTATTATTCAAGCTTACTTTATTTTATTGTCTCTTTATTGATTTAATTAAATTTCTTTTTCACATTTCTCCTTCCATTCTTTAAATTTCCTTTCTTTCTCAGCAATTTCTTTTTAAATGTCAGATTAATCATTTGCTGATTTATTTTTCTCAGATTCTTCTCTCTTTTTTGCCATCATTTCTTCTAACAATTTTGAGTGGTCAATTATAAGTTAATTCATTTAACTCATCGTTTAAATCTAATTTTGAATGGCTTTTCTTTATGAATTCGATATTGATTCTAATTAATCACAGCATTCATGTTTTGATTTACTATAAGTTGTCCCTATCATTGCCAAAGATGACTTATTTCTTTTTGAATCAGGTTACTACCAATTTAGATAGCTAGCATTGTCAGATTTTTAAACAAAGCTCTTTTATACAAGATAAGGAATTATAGGTTTATTTGGACAAGCTGGATTTGATTATTCTTCGCTTTCAAATTAACTTACTTAATTTGTTTCTGATTCTTACATTAATAAAATAATATTAAACTATATATCAAATAATAACAAGATGTGAATAGTTTTTTCAATTTTTAAAAGACATTATTAAACCAGCTTTTTATCTTAATCTTAATTTTTTAAAAAGTCTTTTATTTTTTTAAGAAACTGATTTTAATAATTTTTAGTTTTCAATTGTATTAATAGGACTGACTTTTTAATCAAATCTATAAAACTAAAACTTAATAATCCTTAGAAATGAAAATATAAAATAAAGACTGATATAAAATTAACATTATCAAGGGATTTCTTTTGCAACTGTTTTTCTTCTAGTAGTAGTCTAAACATAAAATTATCAAACTTACTTTAACTTCACTCTTTTTTTGTTATTATTTGAGCATATCAATTTCATTTTCAAGTACAACCACTTATTATTCAGCTTCATTAAACTGTTTATTTAATGTAATGAATTTATTTTTCCATTAATTTTTTTCACTTTCTAAATCTGTAGAACTAGTTGTAACAACAACTTATGATGATAATCCTTTCAATTACTTTTCAAGCTCACTATTAAATAATGCTATAAAATAACCTTATTTCTTCCTCTTTTTCATCTGCAATTTTTTTTTCTTTGTTGTATTTTTCTTCCCAATCCTAAATCTGTTTATCTCTTTCTCTAAGCAATCTATTATTTTCAAGAATTTATTATTCTTTTTATTATTATGTTTTCGCATCTTCTAATCCCTAATTGTATGATTCAATCAAAAGTTTAGAATGTTGTTATATCAATAGATTTAATTCAGTTAATTTATTCATTTGTTCTTTGATGATTAATTACTAAAAATAATTTGAATTAATTACATATTACTTACTTAATTCATCTAATTTATCACAACAGAGATGTTCCTAAACTGTTGAAGATTCAGAGCCAATTTGTGATTATTAAGGTAATCTCTATGAAGGTATCATTACAGAATTTGGTTATCTTTCTCGTGTTAATAATCCTTTTTCAGATGATAATTATTGAGTATCAAATTTTCCATTAACGTCTTTATTTGCTAATTCCCACTTTAAATATCCTTTGTGTCTACTGTATTTGGAATTCTATATTAATGAGTATTATATACCGTAGAAGGACTTTCAAAATTACTCATATAAATAATTTATATTATTATTAAAGAATCAAATATTTCTTAAAGTGAGAGTACCATATTAGAAGGTAGAAAGAGATTAGTTTTCTTTTATTGTTTCATATGACTCCAACTATTTTAATAAATATGAATTTTACTTTAAATGAATTATTTCTTTATTTCTTTAATGTATCCAATTCTGCATTTGAAAGCATGAGCTATTCCTATTATTTATGATATTCTCTATTAAGATTCATGAATTGATTTCTCCAAGAATCAATTTCTTGAGTCATAACAGTGAATTGATCATTAAATTATTAGATTTCATGTTAAGTCAATTATTTAGATTTTTACTGATCATTTTCTTCTTAAAGAAATCTGATATTTTATTTAATTTTTTCATTCTCTTATAGTTTCATTTTAAGCAAATTGCTTAGCCTTTCTATTTCATCTTAATAAATGACACTCTTTTATTCCAATTCTTATATTTTATTAGCCTCTTACAATTGGAATTATGCTAAATATTATTTTAGCTTATCCATTTCTTCATTTTTATTTCTTAATTAAACTGACAATCTTTCTGTTTCTAAATTAAGCAACTAAAACTTAGATTATTATTCCTTCAATTATGAATTCTCTAACATTCTATAGTTCAAATTATCAATTTCTTCATTTCTTGTTTTTAATAAGGTAACCACTCTGTTTTTTTCATTACTTAATTTATCAATATCTTAACACTTTGATTGTAAGCCTTAATGAAGACGTTCTATTTCTTAATTTTGTAAAGCTATTTTATTTTCATATTCTTCAATTTTTTAATGATCATTTAAAGTAATTTATAATTTAGAAATGCAATTTCTTAATTAATCATTCTCTGATAATTTAATCATTAAAGAATTATTTAATCTATCATAATCTTAGGCTAGATTTTAATATTTAATTTCATATTCTGTATATTTTTGTAATTCTTATATTTAATTTTGAAATATCAAAATCTAATGTTTATATTTATCGGCTTCATCTGATTTGATTCTGATAAGTTAATTGAGATTATTGATTTCTTCATTTTACATTTTAGATCTTATTTAATACTCTTGATATTTTGAAGTATCCTATAAGGTTGTTTAAAGAGTTTAAATAATTGATTATAGTTTTTAGATTTCATCATTTTTGTTTTTGATTTCATTCAAGAACTTTTCAGTGATATGATTATTTTCCTTACTCAATTCATCAATAGATAGTTTTAAATTATTCTCTCTTATTCTTAATTCCTTAAGTTCGAATTCAGATTCTTTGATTCGTTTAGATAAGATTTCTATTTCTTTAATATAAGTTGATTTTTATTGATCGTATTCTTCAGCTTTACTTTTTAAAATTTAAGTAATTCTCTCTAATTCTATAGCTAATTAGGTCTAAATGGGTTATTGTTGATGATACATTTATTCATATTTTTTTGTTTCAATCAATGTTTTTTATAATTAATGCAATTAAGATTAACTTTGAGATACTAAAACATTGAGTCTTTGTATTTCATTTTGCCAATACTGATCTGTTTCTTGAGAATTTCTTTTTAATTTATCAAATTCAATTTATTATTATTGAAACTAAATTAATTGTTAAGATAAAAAGAGATTTTTTTATTTAAATTGCTCTGATTCATTTTAAATTTCTCCTAATAAATGATTAATTCTATTGCATTCTTATTAATATGATTATAGATTGCTTTCAAGTTATTAGATTCTATGTGTATCTTCTATATAAGTAACTTTTTCTTATACAGTTGATTTGAGTTTATTTATTTCACTTTAAAGATCTTAAATTTATTTTTCTTAAAAAGAGCACTTATTTCTAAAGTAGATTAATTCATCTGTTTCAAGTATTTTAACATTATATGTTGATTGAGAAGGTTTAAGAATTTTTGGTTGAGATTCTAATCTTATTGTAGGTTGAGATGATTATTAATTTCTATGAATATAAAGAATGTTTGGACTTGTCACTATATCATTAGTATTTGATCTATTTCTTTGTATAGTTTCTTTATTTGATTCAATGAAATGTTGTGTTGAAAAGTATTAAGTATGTTGTTAATCCATTTATTCGTTAAATATATTTATTGATAAATTAATATTATGAATAATAAAGGGATATATTGAATTTGAATCATCCTAATTATTGTTTGTATGCTGTTAATTCTTCTCTATTCTATTAAAATATATATTATGTATGAATTACTCCACAAAAATGCAAAATCAAATAAAATCCACCTGTTAAAAATAGCATAGCTCCAATAATGAATCCTATGATGTCACTAGCTGCATTGGATAATTAATAAACAGCTAAAGATGCTAGACTTAATAATGTTATTTAAAAATACTAAATATTGAATAGACCTCTTCCAAGAAGAGAACTTAAAAATCTGAAATTATTATCCATAAATTCCATTTTTTAACCACTTGCAAAGAGCATAACACCAAATAATCTATGATAAATAGATAAATAAACTTACATTAAGAAAAATGGTAAGAAAAATGACATGAAGAATGAAAAACTAAAACTGGAGAATATAATTGTCAAGGATATAATTTAAGTGACTCCAATCAATATGAGCATGATGGAAGAAATTAAATTTGACCATTTGATCAATTCAAGAGTGGATGGCATGTAATATATTATTAATATTATAAAATCTATATAATTTTATGTGTATGTATACATTAATTGTTATTTTAATAATCATGATTATTAAGGTTTATTTTCACCCATATCACCAGCACTTCTATTTGCTTTATGTCTAGATTCGTAGTAACCAAACTCTGAAGGTAATCTGTAACTTCCAGGAGCAGGTGTGCCAGCTTAATTGATAATAATATTAGGTTGATACCTTTTCCAACAGATCCTGTTCTTCTAGATTCTTTTGGAAAACTTCTAACATTTGAAGAATGGAATTTAGAAATAAAGTAATTACCATCCTATGATATAAGATTTGAATTACTTTTTGAATTCCAGTCTTATCAATAGGATAAGTACCTGGTCCTGGAGCTTAAAGATTAGTAGCTTTAAAAATGGTATTATAAATTTACAAAAATCTTTAACAAATCTTTTAGAGTTCTTAGGATTAAATAATGTTGCACATGAATTATTGTATTTCGATATTGGATATTTACCTACAGCATTAACAGCAGGTAAAGATTCATATGTTCCAGGTCCTGGTATTTCTTTACTTGTTAAGACCATAAAATTTGTTTTTGGTCTCTATCTCATTGTATATCGAATATCACTCAAAGTAGATCCTAAATCATAAGTTCCAGGAGCTATTATATAATATTAATTATATATTTTTACCTGGAGTTTTTAAATTTAAGTTTCCAAGTATGCCAGTGCTAGCCATTTTTTCTCTACTCATTCCAAATTTATTTCCTTTTGATTTCTTAAGATTTGTTTCAACGTCACTTGCTAAATTATATTATTATGGGGATGGAGTTGCGAATGGAACTTTTGTAAAATCAGTTCTTAAATAAAAATATTCTTATACTTTGTTCCTTTTCCAATTCCAGCAGATCGTTTTTCTATTTGACTAGGCAAATCGTAAAATGCCTTACCACAACTATAATGATTAGATCAATCATGAATACTTGACTGGATTAGCCAGATTACCAAATCTATCAGATTTAGAAAATGTCCATAAGTTTTTAGCTGTACTATGATTAAGTGGAGAACCACATATTTATTAGCATGTTGAAACAGTTATTGACATATTAAATTAATTAATAAATATATAATTAAGAATACTTTACTTTATTTTGTTTAAATTATGAGTTTTTTAAATATACATTTACTTCATGCTTGTAAAGGCTTTTAAGATTATTCAAACACCTATAACAATTATGGTAAATGCTCACTATCTAAACATGTAACATCAACTAAAGCTGCAGAAACAAGATAAGGATCAATATTAGCAGCTGGTCTTCTATCTTCAAAATACCTACATAATTTATTATTATTATTATATACCCTTAACCTAATTCTTTTGTTATTATTGGTACTCTAATTGAACAACCTCTAGAACCATCTCCCCAAGAAAATTAATCATATCTACCAGTTTCATGTTTCCCTGTCAATCTTAATTAATTATTTATTCCATATAATCTAATCATGTCTTTATGTTATTTTTATAAAATTGGCATTAAATTTTCTACTATATATTTATAACCTCCTTCTGATCTTGTTGTTTAAGTAGAATAATTGCAATGTGCTCCACTTCCGTTCCAATCACCTTATATTGGTTTAGGATCATAATTTATATCTATACCAAATTCCTCTCCTATTCTCTCCAATATATATCGAGCTAACCACATATGATCTCCTATTTCTATTCCTTCTGCTATTCCTATTTAAAATTCCCATTAAGAAGGAGCTACTTCAGCATTTAATCCTGCTATTTTTAATCCGGCATTCAAACATGCTCTTAAATGTGCCTCTGCTAATGCTCTACCAAAATTATTTCTTTCACCAATTGAACAATAATATCTACCTTAAGGATAAGGAAATCCACCATTTGGCCAACCCAATGGCCAAAGATGAGTTGTACCTGTTCGTTTTAAAAGAAAATATTCTTATTCTATTCCAAACCATGGCTTATGTCCTTTTGCTTTTTCCATTATCAAATTAGATAACCATCTTTTATTAGTTTTATTTTATAAACATACCTAAAATTATACCTTGCTGGTGTTTTTTTATCTGGCAAATATGTTTCACATAGCACTAACAAATGAGGATCTCCTCTAAATGGATCTTTCACCATACAAACCGGTTTTAAATATATTTCTGAAAACCTAGTAACTGCTTAATCTGTTGATGATCCATCATATGTCCACCATTCTAAATCCTCTAAATTCTTTATTGGATTCAAATAGACCTTAAGTTTAGTAATATAATTTTACCTTTGTTTTGGATCTCAATTTTTCACCTGTTCCATCAATCCATATGTATTCGGCCAATACGTATTTACTATTTACATTAGATGAGAATGGATAATAGTTAAAATCTCTTAAATTTTCAATAGTTTCGGTCATCTTTCAAGAAATTAATTTTAAAAGATATTCAACGATAAACATTTTCCATTTAAGAATCCTCAATATGCCATATTATTTATAATAATAAGTAAGACATTAATGCATATTAATATTTATTATAAAATGGTGCATTAATAATATAAATATATATATTTTATGATAATTTGAAAAAAATATTCATATCTGAAAAGGCTTTTTCAATATTTAATTAATAATATTATATGAATATTCAAATCTTTTTAATTCTTCTTTATTATTGCAATTCAAGATGTGCATTCACAGTTGATGATAAAGACAAGCCAATAGAAACAGATAAAGATCCAGAAATAATAGGGATTTTAGAAGCATGTCCCTTTTATTCTAATCAACCTGTCTGTTGTACAAAAAGTTAAGACAGATCAATGGTTAAGGATTTCAAATCTTTAGATGCTACTTTTGGTAATGATGGAGGAGGATGTGATATGTATAAAATGAAAATAAAAATTAGATGTGGTTCAAATATGAAGAGATTTTGGTGCCATTATACATGTTCTCCAAATTAGAGTGATTTTATGAAAATCACTGGTAGATAGAATATGACTGACCCATTGAATTCTTCTAAGATCATAGAAGTGTAAATGGTGACTTTAGAAGTGCATCCTTAAATCGCATGTGTAATATATAATATTATTAATTTAAATATAGGAGGTTTATTCCTCATGTAAAAGAACTTCATTTGCAACTTAAGTTTCAGCAATGTCCAGTCCAGGTGGATTCTTTACTTTTTAAGGGGAATAAGCAGTGTAAATAATAATTTTTAATGTTAAAGTGGTGAAGGAGGATAATATATTAATGTTGAATTTTAAGAATCCAATTCACTCTTCTTTGAGAATATTTGGACTTGCGATCGCAATTACAGCTACACTACTGAAGATGAAAGTGGCATTCATTATTGGGATGATTTTGGATATGAATTACATGGAGAATGTGGATGTAATACTTGTGAATCCAGTTGTCAACCTGATAAAATACTCTATTAACCACCAGGAGTATTTTATGGATTTGAAAGCACCTATATATTATTTGCTTGGGGATGGGCTATCTTATTATCTTTGGCTATTACTTTAATTAGGAAATGCTAAAGAAAAAGATATGAATTAAGAGACTTGGAAGAATAGAAATAAATTCTTTTTGGATGATCAAATTTATACTGTTTATATTTTATTTAATTCCAAATCTATATTAATTACTTATTTATACAAAATATTTTATTTAATAAATTTATTATAAAAATGGATAGAAAACAAAAATTAGACACTTAATTAAATAAGATTGCTTTTGATTTGATTACCTATTCAACTCTTGGTATGTATACATGTGCTAATGCAACTTAGGATACTTTGTTGGCGTAGGTGCTTCTCTATTTTTTAAGAGAAGAGCATTTATACGAAATTTGAGTGCAGGTCTCTTTGCTGGATTTGCATATAGTGAAAATCGGGATGCCTTTCATAGACAGCTCTGAAATATTAAGATATAAAAATTAATATAATTTAATTATGACTACAAACATAAGTTGTCTTAACTTCTACAAAGGAAAATCTTTGTTAATATCTGGTTGTACCGGCTTTGTAGCCAAAGTTATATTAGAAAAAATTTTAAGAGTATTGGAAGTTAAGAGAGTTTATGTTTTGGTAAGAGCCAAGAAAGGTTAATCAGTGGCTGAAAGATTCAATAAAGAGATTATCAATTCCCAATGTTTTGACAGAATTCGTAAAATAAAAGGACCAGATTTTACTAAATTCATTGAGGAAGTTGTTAAACCAGTTGATGGAGATCTAATTAAGCCTCATTTGGGACTTAGTAAAGAAATTACATAGGAGCTCATAGAAAATGTCAATATAATCATAAATAGTGCTGCCAGTGTTGATTTTAATTCCCCTATAAAGGTTGCCTTAGAAATCAATTATTATGGAGTACAAAAAGTATTAGAGTTAGCAAAATAATGTAAATATTTAGAAAATTTTATCCATGTGTCAACCGCCTATGTTAATAGTGATAAATTTGGGTATAAATCATTATTCAATTTTAAAGGTTTATAGAAGAGAAGATTTATCATCCATAAAAGGATGTAGAATCCTTTGTTTCTATACTTTATAGATCATCATAAAATTTTGACGAAAAATAATAAAAAGTGGCTTTAGACAAATTTCCAAATACATATACATTCACAAAGAATTTAGCAGAATAAATGTTAGCATAATTGAGACCTCCAAATATGTAAATAACTATAGTCAGACCTACTATAGTAGGATGTTCATTTAGAGATCCTATTCCTGGCTGGGTAAAAAAGATTGTTATTAAAGATTGATAACTTAGTTGGAGGTGCAGCTGTAATATTTTTTGCAGGGATAGGATTAGTCAAAATATATAAAGGAAAAGAGAATTTAATTACAGATTAAGTTCCAGTTGATTTTGTATCTGATATGATTCTGGTAGCAGGAGCCTATGAAGCAAATAAAAATAATTTCTAAATTTATCACTGTGGTACTAGTGCTAGAAATCCTGCTCCATGGAAATTAACTAAAGATACATGTTTTGAATATTGGAATGCTAATCCACCAAGTGTGAAAGTCTCACCATGTACTATTGAGATTAACAATAATCTATGTTATTATAGATATATGAATTTCAAAAGAAAAATGGGGGCATTAGCTTTGAAAACTTTTGCTGATACATTTGGCAATTCAACTTAAAAAAAAAATGCTAATCGATATGTCAAGGTTATTGAAAAAGCTGATACAATTAATAAGACCTTTAAACATTTTAATAGGAATGAATGGGTGTTTTCTTAAGAAAATGTTTTACAATTAATGAATTGTTTATCAAGAGATGAATAGGGGATATTTTTATTAGATGTGACTGAAATGGAATGGAGGTATTAATTTATAATAAAATTCATAGATCTTACATGATGACCTTCCATTATGGATTATAGAAATTCATTCTAAAAGAAAATGTATAACCACCTGTAGATGAAGAACCAACAGATTTATTAAGATCTTGGAAGAGTGGAAACTTCACTGACTTAAAATGGATTGTAGAAAAGTAAAAACTTCCTGTAGAAAATAAAAATTATACAATGAATGGTTTATTTAATAGGTAGAGAGCTAAATTGTGAAATAATCAAAATGAATATTTTGTATAAAATATGATTAATATTTAAATTTCATTCTAATGAATCCATATGAAAAAATCAAATAAGATTTGGACATAAAAATGTTAAATTAGAGATAAAATATTCTAAGAGTCTTGAATGGATAGTAAAAGGTTTTTAATGCAAAGGAAATTATAGATGCTTATACGTAATATATATTTTATTTAAATTAGAGATATATACAATTATATAATTCAAGGAGAATAATAAGGAAAAAAAATGTACGAACTTTTTAAACATTATAATGAAAATTTTCTAAAAGAATCAGAAGAAATTGTAAGAAAGAGTTATGGAACTGAAAATTTTTTAGCAGAAATTCTTAATCAACATTAGATTTATGAATATCATACTCGAATACTTAAAAACTATTTTATTTATTTAGATCGTTCATTGGTTTAAGCCTCCAATAATTTTAATTAATATCCTCTTTTGAATTTATAGGCAAAATAATAATATTATACATTATTTTATAGAAAATTGTTTAATAACATAAAGGAAGAATTCAAAAATAAATTAAAGTAAGATCGAATTCAATATGATAAAGAAGTATAATTACTATTACAAAGAGTCTATAAAATAATTTATGAAATGAAAACCATTCCTTAAGATAAAGATAATAGAGAATTAATTTAAGATGAAATAAAAGAGGAAAGCAAAAATTATTATTAATTATATTATAGCAACATTAAATAACAATCCTTTTTAGATTAATTTAAATCATTAGTATAATTTAAAGAAGAAGAATTAAGTAGAATTAAGTTAGTTTTTGGGCAAAATGAACTTTAAAAAGATTTGTTTGATATATTTAATTAAAATATTATTGATAATTATGCAATGGATTTAAGTTAAGAAAATAATGACACTTTAAAATATATTATCGTTTAGGATTACTTTTAAGTATAATTTTATTATTATATAGGAATTTAGTTAAATGGTTTAATTTTTTGATCATTTCAATAGCAACACACATATTTTAGTTTAAAAATTTTAAAACATTATAATTTAATAAGGTAGTCAAATCAATTAAGAACTATAACATGAAATAGCTGAATAGAAAAAAAAATAATTTTAGGAGAAAGAACAAGTAATACAAATTTAAATTTTATTAGTAATATAAATATTTGGATCAATTAATTTATTTATAACAATCTTATAAGAGTTTAATCTTTTATTATGCTGAAAATAATAAAATTTTGCTTTCAAATTTGAATTCAGCTTTCTAAAAAATAACAGCATAAGTTGATTAATATTTTATAATGCAATAGCTTTTACAAGGACTTGATTCATTTTATAAAAATAAACTAATAAATTTTGAAGAAGAAAAATAATTAAGTTAATTTATTCAAATTTTAGAATGTTTTTAAGAAAAAGATTTATTTTTAAAAAATTTCTATTATAGATTAGCATAAAGAATATTGACTTAATTTAATTATCATTCAGATATTGACAAATAAATTATTGATCAATTTCGTAAGACTTTTGGTCCACAGCATACAGAAAATTTAGCGAGCATGATGAAAGATCATGAATAATCCATATATGAAGCAAATATAACTTTTAATGAAATTGAAATTTAAGCTAGAATTTTATAAAAGGTATGTTGGCCTGAAATACAACCATACTTGAGTTTAGATAAAATTTTAATTTTTTAATAATTAAAATCTGCATTTAAATAAAAATTTAATTCTTAACAAGAAAAGAATAAATTGTATGATATTTAAACTACTTTTACATAGAGTTGATCTTTTTTGGCAAGACTAGATCTCAATGATAGAAATATAGTTTAAAACTAATAAGGATTACAGAGTTACAATCGGAGTTGTTTGTGGTGCAATTTTATTAGAGTTTAATGAGAAAAATCTACCATAAACAATTGAATAATTATAAGTAAATATATAAATTCTAAAATAAAGGAAAAAATTTAAGTTAATTAATAATTTTTAGTAAATTAAATCAATTTATTAGAAAAGGTAAAATTAATAATTAAAGAGGGTTAAGCTTATAAATTTAATGAAGAATTTTCATATAAAACCTAAAAAATCAAATTAAGTATTGTTTTAGATTAATATATTGAATATCAATGTATATAAAATGAATATGAACTTAATAGAAGAGTATGTTGAAAATGATAGAAAGAATGCCCTTTAAGCTGCAATAATTCGTATAATGAAGGCGAAAAGGATTTATTCCTTTTAATAGTTAATTATCTCAGTAAAAGAATAATTAAAGATGTTTAAACCATTAGAAAAAGATATCAAGCAGGGTATAGAGATATTAATGGATTAAGAATATTTAAAAAGAAACCTATTAAACATAAATGAGTTGATATATGTTAGTTGAAATTAATAGTCATTTAATTAACCATTATATATGATTTAAAAACTACATAATTATTCTTTTTTGATTATATTAGTAATAGAAGTTAAAAAACAAAATTTATATTCATCTGACTAATTGATATTTATTGAGAATTCTAAGTAGATGAATCTTATTTATTGGCTTAGGTAAAAATTCACTTATGCCTTAGTGATCACTTTAATTCATATTTTCTTTAGTATCATATGCTGAACACATGATAATTATTGGTTTTTTACCACCTTATTAAATTATCTTATAATTATAATTTTGTTACTTCTTTTGATGTTTCAAAACCATTCATACCTGGCATTTCAATATCCATAAAAATAATATCATAATATTAACACATAGTATTCATTTTCTCTTTAACTTTTTAAATAGCCTGAATTCCATCATAAGCTGAATCACATTAAATTTTATGATGATTTAATAAAGCTTTGAATGCTATTAAATTTAAAACTTAATCATCGACTATTAAAATTTTTTTACAAAAATTGGTACATTCATGAGCTTATAATGTTGAATATTTAAAAGAAAAAGTTTTATTTCCTTAGATGGGACTTTCTAAAGATTTAAATTAAAAATAATTTTATTGTGGAACTTTAATCTTTTAATTTAAATCATCTACAATCTTTGGACTATCATTTGAATTTAAATACTCAGATTTTTGACCTATTTTTTCTAAATAATAGTTATCATCTTAAATTATATAATCACTATATCTACGAATTACAAAATTATCATCTTATAATGATCTTGATTTCTTGTATGTCATAAATTTACCTGTATTAAATGAACCTCTTAAAAATATTTGTTCTTAAGATTAACTTAAATCCAAATCTTGAATCCAAAAACTGATACTTGTTCCATTTTATAAACATGTTAAAATCTCAACATAATTATCATTAGTTTCAATTAAACCTTAAACCAATTTTGCAGATAGATTCAATCCTAATCCTAATTCAGGTTTTTAAGTTAAAATAAATGGTCTATCATTTTCTTTATTTTTTAAAATAATCTATTTTGGCATAATTTAATTATTTCCATTTTTTAGAATTTCATTTTAATGAACTGTAATCTATATTCTCTATTCATCATTATAAAATAAAGATAATGACATTTCACCACCTGCTTTAGCTTAATGATAAGAATAATTTAGAATATTAATTATAACTTGTATTATACGTTGTTTATCAGAATAAATCTATTTTTCAAGTAGACAATTTTATACTTTAATCTAAAATTAAACATTTTTTTGTTTCACCTACTAAATAAAAATATGTTCAATCTCTTAAATTATATCTTAAATTTAAAATAAATTAAATTTATAATGAAACATATCAGATTATATTGAAGAATAGTCTAATATGTCATTTATTGAATGATATAACATGGAGTTTGAACATTACATCAATTCAAGATATTCTCGAATTACTTATTACTCTTTTGTTAGATCTTTTGTTATGCTCACGACCTAGGATATAATATTAAGAGGTGTTCGTAATTCAAATGAAAAATTATTTAACATTTCTGATGATTATTGATTATATTTTTTTAATTTTTCAATTTATTTTTTATGTGTAATATTCTTCATCAATAAAAATATGTAAGGTTATTAAGTTTAATCTCCAAATTATGATTTAGAACCATTAATAATTTAATCTAATTGTTAATTAGTAAATTAAGTTAAAATAATACTTAATTTAATATGTCTATCAGGTTAAAAAATTAAATCGAAATTAAATTGATTTTAATTTCTATTTGAATAAGGAGAATCTTAAATACTACTATTTTCTCCATCAAAATCTGTTTAATGAGGATAATATTATTTAAGATACTTCTATTAATTTAATAGAATATCAAATATATCTAATTATAACCTTTTTTTTTATGCTTAAATAAAAATATCTTCCAAAGTCTATTGATTCATTTCAAGTTTTCTTTATGTATGAGATAATGATAATTATGTTTTTGTGTTTAAAAGTGTAATATTCAAAGATTCTTTTATCATTAATATAATTTATTCTTCTCCTTAAGAAGGTAAAAGTCTTGAACATTTTTTATTCATGTATTAAATTTATTAGTATTAATTTAAAATAATTACTCCTTAATTAAAATAATCCATAAGATGATTAAAAAAAAGATTTAATTAGATTTCAGTTTTATCAACATCAACAGTGACTCTTTTTCTTAATGAATTACCAACAATAGAAAAGAATTAATCAGAAGATTAATTTTTATTAGTTTAATTGCTGAAATTACTAATTTTATCTTTCTAATTATCTTAAATAAACAATTGACTAGAAGACTGAATTTTCTTGTTTTTTTATTGAGCTTATCCTATTTAATTTATAAATTTATTGTTGTTGGATGCTTATACTTTTAGAGAGAGATTTAATTAAGTTGTAAATATTGGTTGTTCATACCCTAATAAAGCAATAGTTATCGCAAATACAACAATTATACTCTCTAATATGTAGTAGTCAAAATTGATGAATAAAATTGAAAATAACCTTAAAATTATATAGCAAGGGTAACCAAACTTTAAAAGTCTATATGAAATTTATAAAGTAACAATTTCGTTAATGATACATTAATTTGAGACAATAATAAGTGTATTAGTATGATTAGTAAATGCATTTAAATTTTAGTTGATTTATAAGTTCAATTCAGTATAAACAATATTATTAATTAAGAATAGTACTGTGATTCTAATAAGGTGATCATTGTTTGTAATTTTTCTAAGTGCAATTAATAAGCCTAATTATATAATTATGGATAAAGAAGATAGAGTTATAGTAATAAGATAATTATTCCATCCAAAAATTATAGATAGTATTGACCACCATATTGTTTAAGCTATTTCCATTATTAAAATAATGTTTGTGTTCATTATTTATAAATATAATTATATTGTAAAAATAATAAATTATGTTCCTTACAATTTACTGGATAGTATATTTATATTAAATTATTGAAAAAAGTATAAACATAAAACTGTTCAACACAACCCTTTTTTCTAAGGGAAAATCCTTCGTAAAATTACCTCTAATTCTTTTTAATTAACAGGCTTTGGTAGGAATGAATTAACTCCTATCTTTTATCCTTCAATGAAATTCTCTTGAGTATCGTAGGCAGAACAAATTACAATGAAAGTTTATTTACCTGTGATTTCTAAAATCTAAGATAAGAAAATTCAATACTTTTTTACTCGTTTGGAATCCATTTATACCTGGCATTTCAATATCCATAAAAATCAATTTATATGCACTACAGTGTTCTACCATTTTTGATTTAACTTTTTCTATAGCTTGAAATCCATCAAATGCTTAATCAGAATCAATTTAATAATTTTATAGCATTAATTTCAATGTAATCTAATTAAATGGAATATCATCTACAATTAATACACTTTTACAATCTTAACATAGATGAAGGTTCTTTTTAAAAGAAAATAATTCTTAATTTACAATAGTTTAACAAGATTCAATTATTTTATGTGAAAAATATTCTGGACTGATAGGTAATTCTATTTATTTTTATTTATTGGAATCATTTAACTAAGGAGTTTCTAAAGATGATTCTGAATCTTATAAGAAATTATCTGGAAGCTACATTTCATAGTCCATCTTTGAATTTGAAATACTTAACTTTTTTGGTATTCTTTCATCAAATTTTCTTTCACTTAAGGTTTATTACAATCCAGATTAATTAAATCTACCTGTTAATTGAGATAATAAATTTGAGGATTATTATTAATCATTTTAAGTTTGCAAGAAATTTTAAATTTAAAATTGTACGATAGTTCCTTTATTTTAAATTGAACTTATTATCAATTAATTATTTTTTGATTCAGTTAATCCTTCTACTATTTTTGCAGCAATATTTAATCCTAATCCAGCCTTTTAGGTAACTTATTATGTTTTTAATCTAGCACCTAATTCAACGTTACCAATTAAACTATTTTAAATTAATGTTAATTTGTCATCTTCTATTCCTATACCATTATCTTTAACTTTAATATTTATTTAAAAAAGGCTTTTCTATTTTATGCTTAATTTTACATAACCTCCCTCTTTTGTATATTTACTTGCATTATTCAAAAGATTTACCAATATTTATAATATTCTTTATTGATCATTAAAAATTGTAGCATCACTTAAATTTGGTTAGATTTTAATTGTAAAATCAATATGTTTTTAAATCATTTGTATTTTATATAGATTATATAACTCTTATGCAATATTTCCAAAAGTAAACGGTGTAATACGATGTTGAAATTAAAATGATTGAATTGCAGCATAATCTAAAATATCATTAATTTAATGAATTAAAAGAGAAATTGAACATTGTGCAATATCTATGTAATTTTAAATCTTCATTTCAACAGATTAACTTTTTATTAAACTTAACATTTGTTAACAACTATTTAAAGGAGTTCGTAATTCATGTGAAAAAGATTTTATTAAACTATGATGTATTATTTATTCATTCTTCATTTATTTGAATTAATGTTTACTTGTAATATTTTTAATCATTATTAATAATACAGGCATTTCTATGTCATTTTAAAGTTAGATATTAAGTTTACTTGGAAATTTGTTGTGAGAAGGCATAGATATGTATTCTTATTAGTTTCCAGTCAAAAAAGTTGGAATTAAAATAACTTTAAGTTTCTTTTATTTAATTTTTCTACTTTAATTAGATTCAAATAACCATTCATAGATAAACATTTATTATTAACATGTTAATTGATCTGTTCTAGAATCATCTTAACTACCCAATTAATCTAATCTCTACTCTAAAAATTATAAGTATTTTTAAGGTTAAAGAATTATATCTAAAATATCAATTTATAAACTTTCCTTTTATAATTCTTTCACTATTCTAAATAAAGCATATTGATTTAATTATTTATTATGTCTTGGTGTTCTTAAAAGATTTGTAATTTCATTATCATTTTCAGGCATTTTAGCACTATTTAAACATTATCTTATTTTATCAACTATTTATTCTGATCCTGAACATTCTAGCAATTTCTCACATTTATTATTATAATAACTTACTTATTAATTTTAATTTAGTATTAATACTCCTTAAGGAAAAGAATTTATTAAATTTTGATAAAATTAATGGAATTATATTTCTGAACCTTTATTACCCAAAAATTAGGTTTTTTATAATTTTTAAGTTTATCCTAAATTTGATAATTAAATCAACTTTGATTCATATGTCATTTCCTTTAAAAAAATACTTTGACTTTTAAGTGGTGTTTATCCTATTGACATTCGACTAAAAGATTTAATTAAGGATTAATTTAATTATAAATGATTAGGTGATTCATGCTCTTCTATTTTTTAAATTTATTATTATTCGATTAATATATTTTTAAACTTTTTCCTACATAAACATGAAAAGTTAAATGATTCATCATTATATGCTAATGAAAGAAAAATAACCAAACATATTATTAGACTTTCTATTAGATAAAAATTAAACTCAGTAAATATTAAGATGATATTTCTAAATATAATATAACATGGAAATCCTATTTTGCATATTCTTTTTGATTTATCATCAGATATTGCCAAATATTGTTTATAAGTTATAATAAATAGTAAACAATTTGCATATGTGCCTAATGGATTATTGTATTTTAAAAATAAAAAAGTTTCTATATACAGTACAGAATAAAAGAGTGAGACTAAATGTAAAATCGTTTATTTTTCAAATCGTTATTCAATTATTATCTACTATAAAATTCTCAAAATTGTGCATGATATTTATAAAGAGAGAGCTTCATAATTAGGTTGATCAAACATATAAAGAGATAAAAATATCCACCATAACCCTTATGAGATATTTGCAATTAAAATAGATTTTCCAACTATACTTTTCAAAATGTTTTTTATTTAATCTCCTTTTTATTTCATTTAATTTAATTAATAAAAAACAATACTTGACAAAATTTAGATATGAAAACTATTATTTGGTAAGTTTAACTACTCTGATTTTTTAATTTATTTTCAAAAATAATGAAATAATCATATTATAATACTTATTTTTTTCTACTTAATCTCTATATATATTAAAAAATAATTCAATCAATTATATATTCGATTATTTCAAATTTTTTACTGATTATTTTTTCATCCTAAATTTTATAATAAGCTATATTTTTCTTAAATTTTGATATATCATTGAAATGAAGATAAAATTTTGATTAATAAAGATAATTTTTTTTAAACCTCTTACTGATAAAGAGATAAAGATTATTATAATAAAGGAATACAAAATTGTGAGAATTAATATAGTATATATATATCATAGAAAACCAAATCTATATAATATTCTTTCTAACTCTTTTTAGTTGACAGGTTTAGGTAGAAACTCAGCCATTCCTACTGATTCCCCTTCTCTAAAATTTTCTTCAGTGTCATATGCAGAACACATTATAATATATGTCTGATCAAAAGTAATTTTAAGTATCTAATTTATTTTATTATTTTACATCTTTAGTAGCTTAAAAGCCATTTATACCAGGCATTTCTATATCCATAAAAATTAATGTATAATATTAACAATGTTTATCTAATTATTTCTTAACTAAATCTATTGCTTAATAACCATCATATGCTTATTCAACTTTAATATTGTAATGTAGAAGAAGTGCTCTTAATGCTATCTAATTAAAAGGAATATCATCAACTATAAGTACTTTTGCACAGAATTAACATTAAGGAATCTTTTGTTTCTTTAAATCAATTACTTCCTTATAAATAAAATATTCAGGACTTATAGGTAATTCTATATGTTATGAATAATTATCTGCCATATCTAAAGAACTTTCTTCTTAATTTATTGGATACATATTAAAAAATTTACTTTTATTTGTTCTACTTTTTTTAGAAGGAGATTAAGGTTCAAATTTTGAATTTTCAGATAATTATTTTAAAAGTGGTAAAATTTAACTACAATGACTACCTTCATATTAAGACATTTATTATTTATAAGTATTATTTTTATTTGTATATTCAGAAATCATTGGATTTCTAACAGATTCATCTCTACAAATTAAAAGATTCTCTATTATAAAATATATTTTTGTTCCTTCATTTTTATTTTTTGAAATAATTTCTAATGTTCCATCATTTTTTTTTATCAAACCTTCAACAATTCTTGCAGAAATATTTAATCCCAAACCTAAACTTTTTTTGATTCTTGATCTATGAAGACTCTTCCCCATTGAACTAGTCAAAACTTTTCTTAAATTTTATAATTAATCTGAACCAATCCCAACACCAGAATCTTTAACTTAAAGTTTAATAAAAGAATAATCTATTAATTTTAAAGAAAAAACAATTTTACCACCTTCAGGTGTAAATTTACAAGAATTATTTAATAAATTGATTAATACTTACATTATTCTTTATTTATCTGATCTAATATTGCCAATTTATTTTTCATCAAATTTAACTTACAACTCAATTTTTTTTGAATTTAATTGTTTAGAATATATATATTTAATTTCATCAACAATTTCACGTGAATTAAATTCAAAATATCTATATTTAAATGTGTTTGATTACATAGCTGCATAATCTAAAATATCATTAATTTAATGGATTAAAAATATAATTGATATGTGAGCAATCTCAACATACTCTAAAAGTAAAGGATCCTTAATCTTATCTTTTAATATCATAAGCATATCTTGACTACTATTTAAAGGAGTTTTTAATTCATGTGAAAAAGATTTGAGTAAAGAATTATGTATCTCTTTTTCTTTATTCATTTATTCTATCTTATGTTTTTTAGTTATATTTTTTATTTTAATTACTATAATAGGTTGTACACTTTCTGCTTATATTGCAGTTTTACTTATATGAACTTTTTAATATGAAGGATAAGAGAGTTATTCTTGTTGAGCATTTGTCATATAAGTGGGTATAATAACTATTCTTAATTTCTTTAAAATGCCATTTTCTCCACTAATCATATGTTCATAAGTTACAGCATCTTTTCTTTATAAAAATGTTTCATTTATTGATTCTGAAAGACTACTTCTTTAATCAAGTTCAGAATGAGGAGATAAATTTTGATAGAATTAATGCAGATATTTTTGTGGAAATAGAAATGCATCAAATATATCTAATTCTAATTAGTTCTCATGATAATATTTAAGAATTCTTTCAAAAGTTACTTTGTTCATTTTAGCTTAAGACCTTGGAGGAACTTGTTCTAATGGAGATTCATCATTTTCATGTAAAGAATTTGTAATAATTATTTTTTTTAAACATTCTACTACTTTTTCACTTCCTCTTTAACCTAATAGTTTTTCACATTTATTATTCATAAGTGTTACTTTTTAATTTTGATTAAGAATTACTACACCTGCTGAAAATATATTATTTATTATATTTTAAAAGAATGTATGTAACTACTAATCTGATTTATCTGCACTTATAGTTGATACTTTTTTGTTTAAACTTTTTTTTAAGCTCTAAAACTATAAAGAAGTTTTTATATTTTCCTCCATAGTTCTAGGATCATTGTATAATGGGATATTTTAAAAGTCTTCTGGTTTCTCTTGATGCTATGAATAATGAGTTCTACTTTTCTTAAAAGATGCTCCCAAAGATAATCTTTTAGAATCTTATTAGATAAAACTTAAAAATTTTTAATTGAAATTATGTTAATCTTAAGATCCTGGGTCTTTCACTGTATTGAAAATTTTTTATTTTTTTTTTTTTAATTCATCCTTTGTTATCAAACATATAAAAATAAAAATTACTATGCAGCTTTCTAAAATTGAATAATTTGTTTCAATAAATGTCATTGATATTATTCTTAACAAACAAAATATCGGAAAACCGAACTTTGAAATTATTTAAATATTTTCTTTTTATTCTTTGTTAGCATGTTCATAGTTGATTATTATCATCAAAGAATTTGAATGGTTTGTAAAAGGATTATTCAAAGGCATTCTTATACTTGCCTCTGTATATAAGCAATTTTAAAGCAAATATAAAATTGCTAAAACAAATGTATGAGCAATTTTTCTTTCTAAAATTATTATTGTAATCCGTATAACAATACTACTTACAGAAAGAATACAAAGGTAATAATCATTATGCTAATAAAATATCCATGAACATATTATCCACCAAATGTTTTGAATGATTTGAGTATAAAACAGTATTTAATAATTCATAAATTAATGAAAAAGACTATTAATCTATATTATTGTATTACATTAATATTTATTTATATTTTTAAGCTTTAAAACCATCAAATTTAGGTTGATTAAATTTACATCTTAATAGAAAAAAGTTATAATTTGAAACACAAAATCAGAATTTTCAAAAATTCACCAATAATTAATTCTTTTATTTATATTAATCAAATTAGATCTTTGAATTAATTGTATTTCAAAATACTAATAAAACTTAAAATTTCGAATAATTTAATTTGACATCTATTACTCAATTTGTTTTATGAAATTAAATCTAAAAAAATATCTCTAGCCTTATTATAAAATTTAAAATTACAAAAAAGAAATTGCAATTTTATTCAGAAATTAAAGAAAAGTATTTATAAACACTATTAATAAAGTAGATCTTTAATTATTTACATTAAATTTATAATTTGTGAATGGAATATTACATGAGATATCTATTAATAAAATTATAAGATATTTTGTTTTATTAAGTATTTAATAAACTATTTATTTACATAATTTATGTTTTATAATAATAATTGGAAATTGATATGTTGCACAAAAATTGTAAATAAAAATATTATATTAAGTTAGTTGAATTAAATTGTTCAATTATTTTATTAATAGGAATAAAATAATTTAAAATAAATTATTATAATGATGTTGATATTAGTAATTTTTAGCATTTTAGAAAACATTAGTAATTAAGTTGAATAACTATTTGTTAGATACTTCAAGAGTTTATCAAGAATTGAGTGAAGTTTAGCTTAATTAATCATCTAATATAATGAGATGTACTCTGCTTAATAAAATTGACTTTTATTATCTAAGTTAAATTTAACCAAATGTCAACTATGAGTTTAAAATACTTGAGTCTCATTTTGCAGTTGATATTTTTGTTGATTTTTATTTAAGAGGAGATTATATCAATAAGTCTATAAATATTATACTTGATGGTATTCTGATTGATTAATATTCAGTGCAAAATGATCATTCAGTTCCATTTTGTGATGAGTATATATTTATTATAGTTAATTTTAAATAGCAATTAAATATAGGCTAATACTTATTTCAAGACTTACACACATTATTAGTAAAACTTAAATTTGGCATTTTAATTAGAGAATTCAATAAATTTTTCATTAGGAATTAGAAACATTTAAATAATACCAAAATAATGTCATGAATCTTGTTCATAATGTGTTGGACCAGAAAAGAATTAATGTAGATCTTGTTTTATAGGAGCTTAATTAAGTAAGAAAACAAATGAATGTAAATGTCCTTCTATTATACCTTATTTAAGTTTGAATTAAAATTAATGTATAAATAAATGTGAATTGAATGAATATTTTGATGAAATTTTAGATATGTGTGTATTAGATGATAGTATTATAATGATTTAATTTTAGAATAGGAATAGATAAATTAATACTTTTGGAACATATATGATTTTACAGGATGGTCAATGATTGAAAATGGGAAAATATCTCCATTAATTGATAAATTCTACATTAATATGAATGAAAAAGGAGTCGGAAAATTCTTTTCAGGTTAATCTATAAATTATAGATTAAATAATGCTTAGCCTTATCAACAATTAAGAATAAGAGGAGACATTTTCATCTTTAAATCATAATATTAACCTGAAATTTATGTTCAAGTTGATAAGATTAATAAACTGATAACTCCATTACACTATAAAAATGAGACAGAATCAAAGGGATATTTATTATATCATATTGATTATATTATAGATGCATTGCCTATATCAAATATTACAATAAGTGTTACTAGTAATAATAATCTACTATGGGGTATAAATTAAATTGTAATCAATACAATAAATTGTTAAGCCAATTGTAATTCATGTAAAAGCAAACTCTTCTGTAGTACATGCAAAATTGGATATTATCTTTATTTAGGAAAATGTGTTACATAATGTCCAAATTATTCTATCTAAAATAATTAAGTATGTAAGGATGCTACAGAGGAATATCCATTAACAACTACTTTGCTTAGAGCTTTTGATGATAATCTTATCACTAATTTTATAGTGAAAAATACAAAAAGTATCCATTCATTTTATTAAAATTAATTTGGAACATTTTATAATGGTGTCAGATATTTTGGTGGATTAAAAGATAATGGAAACTAATATTTTCATAAATAATTCATTAATCTACCACCTCATCATAAAATTATTTTAGAATTATAGATAATGACATTTGAGTTTCCTTAATAAATTACATAGAACAGTATCTTATATAAAGAGAACAGTGTTACTATTTAAATAGATTAATAATAAATAATAAAAATTAATCCTTAAAATGATGAAGTATAAAAAATATTTTCAGAAATATAACATCAAGCAACTAATTTAAGTATTGCAATGATATCAGTTACATCTGCAGATACGTATTTTAGTTTTGGTATTTCAAATCTCAACATTATGATATAAAGATGTTAACCACTTTGTAGAACTTGTATTGGTCCTGATAAAAATGATTGTACTGAATGGATAATAGAGTAAAATTCTTAAGATTAGGATTGTAATAGTGGCTTTATTTTTGATATTGAATAATAAAAATGTGCATTATGTCCAATAGGTTGTTAGAAATGTTCAGACTAAAAAACTTGTTTAAAATGTGAAGACACTTTCATTCAATAAGGTAGCAGTTGTTTTTGTTTGAATGGAAATATTGATGAATTCACTTTAGATTGTTTAGGTATTTATTAAATCTATTATTAATATTAGTTAATCCATCAATTCCTTGAAAATATTTAAAAAATTCTACATATAGAATACAATCATTCCCAATATATTATCTTAAATATTTATTATTGCATATAATTTAATTTCTTGTATGGACGAAGAACATAATCACATAATAGAAATCACACCTGAACATATTTCATTATCCCTTGATAATTTATCAACTTCCTTCAATATTCTTAATCTTACTTTACATTATGTCCCTTATAAAATTATTTCTCCAAATCCTATGATATTTCATATCCAACCTGCTGAAGGTAAATCATTTAATAATTATATTCAGGAATCATAGATCCGTGTGAAGGTACCGATATTAAAATAACTGCAATCATTACAAGTTCAATGAATTTTTAATGCTTTGAAAAAAACAATAAATTAACTATATTAGCATTAGATGATTAAGAAACTGAATGGAAAAATGTATTAATTGAAAATATTTAAAGGTAATGTGTAATATTCTTTATTTAGACATGATATTTAAATAAATATGGTAAGAAATGCAAATCCTTTTGTGAAAATTGCAGATAATGTTATTATAGCGTAAATTTTTGAGAATTTCAAATTTACAGAAGAAGAAAAGAAAATAATAATCGATTACATAATGAATAAATACGGTAAGACTTCTAATTACAATATATCAAATACAATAATGATTTTTAGATATTAAAATTCGGTTTAAGGGGATATCCATCTAATTTAATATCCTGATTCTAATCAATATTTTATATTACGAACTTATTCTCCTTGTTTATTATAGAATACACCTCCTAAATATTAATTAGAACCTATGAGTCCTTAAGCGAAAAAGAAAATAAAATAAATTGAATAACCATAATAGGAGACTCAAAAACCAAAAAAATCAAAAGATGATTTTAAAACTAATTTAAAATCTTCAGTTGAAAAAAAAGAATCAAGATAATAAAAACAAGCATCATCATTTTTATAAGAATAACCTAATTAATAAAATGAGGAAGAATAATAATAAATTACGGCAAATTAGTTTTAAGAATAATAATAAAATGATGGTAAAAAGGATAGTATATAAATAAATGAAGATGTTAAATAAAAGGTAGATTAAAATACATCATAAAATAATTAAAGTTAAGAAATAAATTAAGAAGTAGATAAGAAGAATATTGAATAATAATAATTAATTTAATCAGTAATTATAAAAAGTTAAACAGAAAATTCAACTCCAAGAAGACAAAGATATTATCAATCAGAAATAATACCTAAAAATTAATTAGAATAATTTAGATAAGATAGGCTAGAATCTAGTGAAAAATAAAAAATTAAATATAATCTTAAAGGTAATTTAAAAAATTTGGCTCCTTTTGAAATGGAAAAAAAGTAACAAATAAATGTTTCTGATAAATAATATCTTGAATAAAATCCTCCAAGATTTAATATGAGAGCAAATTATAATACATATTCAAAGATACACTTAGTTTTATTATTTAAAGATCATTCTTATTTAATAACAGTTTCAGATAAAGAAGTAATAACAGTTTGGAATTTGAATCTGAATTCAGAAGAAGGTAAAATTAGAGATCATAGTGAAATGAAGAAAATAAGAATTTAGAGAATATTTGAATGGGCAGATTCATAAGAAAAGAAATTCGGAACACTGGGAACAGATTACTTAATAAGAATATTTAGTATAGAAGAAATGAGACTTAAATATATATGGAAGATAGAAGATCTAAGTGAAATAACGTATAATCATAAATAAATTTAGATCGATAGCATTTTTATCTGATAAAGATTAAGTTTGTATAGCAGGAACACCTTTAAAATAATTTCATATATTCGGAAGCAAATATCCTAGATATAGATTTTTAAGAATTTATAATTCGCATAGTTTAAAACAAATTCTATCTGAAAAAATAAATGTAAATGATGGTTAAATATTGAATCCAGTTGAATATACTGATAAGTAATCATTTTTTATATTATTTATAGTGAAAATATGAAACATGCTAGATTAAATAATATTTTAGCTGTTAATAAATGCTATAAGGAAAAAGATGGAGGAGAAATCTTATTTTTCTTAGTAGATATGTCAAATATTTGTACTCAAATATTAACATTAACATATGAATAGATTTAAGTTTGGAGTGTAAAAAGTCTCTATTATCTACCTTCTAGAGGAAGTTTTGTAGTAATAGAAAACAATCCACCAAAATCTTATAACTAAAATGTACATTTTACTATTAGTATTATTTAGAAAATATTTGTTATTAATATCAAATAATTGTAGACTGCTGATGGATTAAAAAAAAATGGAATTGTTTGCAAAAAATTTGAAGACTCTTCAGTTCTTGATGATGAAATATATGTTTTACCAAAATAAGAATATTTACTTAAAGTAAAAGGAGATATTGTTTAATTAATTGACTTAAAAACAGAGGTTTAACTTAGTCTTAAGATCTCATAATAAATGGGTGAACATCCATAAAATATTATTTAATCAGGATAAATTATTAGAATTGATGGAGAAAATTTGTAAATATTTGAATTAAAATGCTGATCGAATATTTATATTATTTATGTTATATGTTTTAACTTCATTTTTCTAACATTAAAAATTGAGGATCAGTTTTCATTTCAATTAAACTATTATTATTTATATTTTCACATTGTCAATCCTTGCTATTTATGGTGATCAAATCAATTCTAAAAAATATTCGTAGCAACAAAGCCTGTCCTTAATTTACTCTTTTATATTGCCTTTTTGTCTCCATTTACATTTCCATATTAGATTGTGTATAAAATTTAAACTTATCATAGGATGATGGAGAAACAGAAAAAGAATAATATGTTGTAGGAATTATTTTGATTGTATTCAGTGAAATTACCATAGCAGGGTCTATGTGTTATAATCTTAATTTAAGAAAGCCCATTTAATGGACACTATTTAGCTTAAAACTTATTGGAATGGCATTAATGTATAACAAGAATCCTCACTAAATAATACTTTTTTTTGGTTGCATTCTATCTTAGTTTGTTTATCAAAATTAAATTACAGGGCATCAAGAACCTAATGAAATCTAATAAACTTATAATTAAGTTAACAATATTATCTAATAGTTCCTAGATTCATAAAACAAATGGTCAAAATAGATGAGAATTAGATTACAATTTATCTAAGGAATTCAAACAACTAAATAATTAACTATCAAAGAATAATTTTAAATAGAAAAAATATTAACTTATAGTATTAATTCTGAAATGTGGAAAAATAAATTCAATAAGTATATTCTCTTATTATAAGCAATTTATAAAGAATAGTTTCTTCGATATTAAATTGTAAATTAAAGATTAAAGAATAATTTTCAAATATTAGTAAGTAGATTAAACTCATATGTAAAAAAATTGGATGATGAATTTTATCTATGTTCATAAATATAATCACTTACATTTAAAGACAAGAATTAATTTAATCAAAATAGCTTAAATCATCTCGACACTTTAAGAAATTCTTAGTCTAAAATTATTGAATGGCTTAACAATGAAGAAAGTAATCTTAATGAAACTATTACTTTATTATTAAAAGAAAGTGAATTATTAAAAGAGTAATTAAATGACAAAGAATAATAATTTTTATCAAATTCAGTTAATTAATTTGCTAATCTATTGATGTCATTAAATTTTGATAAATAATAATTGACTTATAATATTATATAATAATAATCAGACTTAAGATAGTTAAAACATAAATATATTAGAAGATTGAATAAAATTAAATAATTTTAATAAATAGGTTAATATGGAGATTGTAAAGAAATTGAATTTAATTAAATATAATATCTTGAATGTCATTTTAAAGAGAGAATAAAAGAATTATATTAAGAAATTCAAAGTTCAATATTGGATAAATAAATAAATGAGATTGTAAATGAAATATTATAAATATTTAAAGAGAAATAACGATTAGAAGATGAAAATATAAGTTTAAAAGGACTTTTAACTTAAACTGAAAGTTAAATAATGTTTGAAGAGAGTTAAAGATTATTAACTAAAAATGATGAATCATTTGCTTAATCTAAAATATGTACTCACAGATGATTTATTCAAATTATTTAATATTATTATATCAATCAATTATTACTCTATTCAATTACAATTTATTTTTCATAATTAAATTATTATTCTATAACTTAGAACTACTCTAATCATATAAAGATTAATAAAATATCTATTTAATAAGAAATACGTATTTATTAAGATTAAATTATTTATATTTTTGAATTTTATTATTTTTCACACTTTTTTTAATTAATTAATTAAAGTTTTTATTAAAATGTTTATAGAAAGTATAAAGTTTAAGTTATAAGAAAAATAGTCAAAGATCTTTCTTATGAATAAAATAATAAAATGTAAAGAAATTAAATCATTTGCTATTTAATTATTTAATGGCCTGTTACAATTTTTAATTTTACATTATTAGTTCACGAATTTTTTATCTTAATTTTTATTCAATTTCCATCATCATTCATTCTAGTTGATAATTACTTACTGTGAATTTTTCTTCTATTTTTCTTTCTAGCTTTTCTATATTGATATTTTTAT